CATGTCCGGTAGCGAAACTTCAGCGTCCGTCATTCCCGTGTGCAACCACGTCTCGGTGATACCAATGACATCATATGACCCGGAAGCTTGGCGATCTTTCAGTTCGGCCAGTTTATTAAAAAGACCCTGAGCATTCGTATACAAGCAGGCCAGTTTCTCGGTCTCTAGGAGTCCACAGAGGGGTGAAGGGGTCAAGTGTGGGAGAATGCCGACCGATGGGAAGTCGGCAATTACTCGATTTTTTGATGGGATAATGATACCTCGTCTGAAACTTGATTCGGCCAAGGTGCGTCCAATTATTCGCTCAGACCTACGTCAGAGTCAGTTAAAGCAGCAGTCAAGTTACGCTTCTGTACATTCGTCGGTATGCTTGCTGCTTCAGGTGCTTTAATATTTGAGCTGTGCAAAGCTTCTGCGACCTTTAACCGAAGTTCAGAAGGAAGACGTTTCCGATTTCTCCGCCATCGATCCAAAACATCCCTTGCTTGTTGCTCTGACTGAACCACAAGTTTTAGGATTCTAGGGCCGCATCCTCTATAATTTGGTGTGAGAGGTATCCTGGTGAGCGATAGCGCCACAATATTATCCAAAGAAAGTGTTTCACGAATGAACCGCCACTGTTCTAAATCGTGCTTTCCGGTCTCTTGAACATCGTTAGAAGGATGTTCTGGCACGCCATGTATGAAGATTGTGTTTAGCCTGTCTTGCTTGCTGTGTCACTCTTCGTTGTTTCTTTTTGATGGTTGCGCGCTCCACGTGAAGTCAAGATAGATCCGCATCCCACAGGATCCGTGTTTTAGCGCGGTTGCGGAGAGCAAAACGTTTTCTACGTCGGTGGAGAATTCTAGCGTTACTCGAATAAGTCTAGGTTCACCATAGTGTGGCGAGTTTGGTTGACGAGTAATTCGTAATAGGTTTATGGGCTCGGCTTTAACACTTGTCAGCACGCACAATGTGTTCCATTGGTATTGGTCGTCCGATAACTTATCCCGCAGTGTGATGGTGGTAGATTCAGTGACTTTTGAGCATACAACAGTTCGGGCACTATGGTTAGATCCTTTTTGCGTTGATCTACGAGGTAGTGTACTTGTTTGTCCTGACCTGCTGACAAATGTTGATTTTTTGTTGTTTGTCGCTCTATTCGCGTTAACGGTGTTTACACCAGAAGAAGCCGCAACGGCGGCCTCCCAGCGGACCTTTTACCGCAATATTTGCATATGTACCTGAGATTCAAGGGGGGCTTTGTCTCGACAAAAGACCTTTGAGCTACAGGTACCGAGGGTTGGTGTTCGGCTACTGCATCCTTGTTAATGCTAGATGTCAGGTCTGGTGGAAGTTGCTTAACTAGTCGTTTCGAGTGGTGCCTGGTTTTCGTTGCCATGAGTACTGTTTGACTCTCGTAGGTACGGTCAATTTTCGCTCGGCGTTCTACCAAAGTTGGAGAAGACAACGGAGATGGGGACGTGGCTGATTGCGGTCCAGGAGAAGCGGATTGTACAGCACTCCGCTGCTTAGAGGCCACTACGGTTCCCTGGCGCATACTCGCTTCCATTGAAGTAATTTTATCGTTTATCCTCTGTTCGGCTTCGGCGGTTAACCGGTCGCACTTCTGAACTAGGATAAGCAAGCACTTAACAAGTGTGATGATCGTGCACGCAGTGCAGAACCAAAGCGCATCTTGTTAGCTATTTCGCTATCGTACCTGTTGTTGGGACACCTTTGCATATTTCGGATGCTACAATTCCAAACAGTGCGAGCAAGCCAAACCTATTCTAACTAATCTATGACATTCTCCTAACTCGCCAATGCCTTTTGCTTAATGCCTTTTCGGATTCTCATTCCTGCCATTCAACGTGGTGTCGTTACCTGACCCAGCGGGTTGGTAGGCGTTCTGTACTTTCCAGTTTCGAGAGCGGCGCACATCGGTCAGGCGGACATAATGGTTGCAAGGTCAAATGAGCGGTCTGTGTGGTCGCGCGGTCCGTGTGATGAGTTATGCAGGCGCACTGGGTGATAAGGACACAAAGAATGGCTAGTGACTGGAATCTGCTAACTGAATCTGAACACAGCGCTGAACACTTATTGAGAGATCACAAATCCTTTCACAGCTGTTTTGAGAGACGCCGGATTGGAATAAGCTAAGGTTTTTTGGACTGCCTCGAGAATTATGTATCAAATGGTGTCACACAGAAAGGCAATAGACTTAATGTGATTGAGTTAACCGTTTGCGTTTAATCACGGATGACAGTGAAACCAGTTAGTGTTGGAACGGACTTTAATCTTGGATGATACTTCCACATATACAGGGGAGGAGAAGGGGGGAGTTGACGAATTTCTGCCAATACTAATTCACGTATGATGAATCACTGTGTAGGGTTGGTACATCCGGTTCGAATGAGTGTACAGTGATAACGCTGCGAGAAGATTGAGAGAGGATAGAGCGGAATAATCCAAATGAACTAGGAGCACGCACGTCACGCGTGTGTGTGGATGACCTTGACGCTCAGCCCGATATGTAAAAGCCGATATGTTAAAACTGCGAAGGTATCAGTGGTCGAACGCCACTAGCCTATTTGTGTCTGTCGACTTGATAGGCAGGGTTTCGCAACCGTACAAGAGGGTCGAAAAGACGGCTGCATTGTGAATGCTCTTCAGGGTGAGAGTGGCGCCACAAGTGACGGAGGTTAGCCAAATCTGAAGGCGCTTTTGCTATACAGTTAAAAATCTCACGTTCGATTCCACGGACGGTCATGTAGTTACCGAGATACTTGAATTTCAGGACGATTTCTTACTGACCATCACCAGGAGTCATCGCAAGGAACGGTCCCTTCCAATCTTGAGTGATTGCATTTCGAGGATGCAAAGCATAGCCCGAAACGATTGACGGCCCAAGCTAATTTGTCCAGTGCTGCTTGGCACATTTGAGAGCTATCACAGATATGGGCAAAGTCGTCGGTGTACTCCAATTCATAGTCTTTGAATGATTTGCACACCTTGTTTGGCTGATTTTATCTACCAGAAGGGCGTTTTTCACAATCATAGGCACTTAGGTTCATCTACTTTTTTAAGTGCAATTAGTGGACTTACGTCGCTTAGATGTAGTTGACCACAAATGATGGGTTACTCCATTAGAAAGTGCGGAATTTCTGGATCTCGGGGCAACTAGCGCGGACTCTCCCTACTGGTCTGCGCCCAGAAATTGTCCAATTTTGAAACACTAACAAGCTTCGCTTGTGCCTTAACTCACGACAACTGCCTTCTGGCTCGTTGGAACACTTTTAAGTCAATCCATCAGCCCTCTGAACTGCTTCTTACTGCTTTGACGTAGGTTAGATCATGACTGAAAGACTCGCAGACTGTCCGAGTTGGAAGTCCGTTCTTTGATCGCTTCCCCGTTGCTGGCTCGGATTCTGTCATGCCCACACTGTCTAGGCACTTTGACGCGGCGGCACTGGGACAGTAGTGTATTTACTCAACCACCTGTGGCAAAGCGATCATCATCGCATGGAGCCATGAGCTCCACCATAGCAGAGAAGGAGTTACCGTTTCTTGTTCCCGTCCAGCCCCCCCCCCATGCTGTGGGAATCTTGGATAATCAGTAGATAGCTGTATGTTGAGGATGGTTCATAGCCGGCACCAGTGGTGTGTTTGGCGTTATATTCCAAGTGAACTTACTGTCTAAAGTACACATGGTGTAGACCGGTTCTGACACCTGGCGATTAATGCCCCAAAGAACATGTCCCACCGGTGTTACATTATCTGCTGACAATAACTGTTTGTGACCTTACGGTACTAAAATCAAAAAATAAATCGTCAGCTGTATGCCGTAGCGGCGCTTCGCTGCCGCGCGATCACCATCAATCGCGCGTGAGCTGAGTATACCGCGAGGACGCCTGCCCTTACGTGGGGCGGTTTTTCATCATTTAAGCACAGATTCTCACGTGGCGGACTATACGCATGTCCTCCATTTGTCCGCATTGTGGTGGTCACATCGGGTACACTGTTTGCGATCCGTAATCGTGCACTTTTACTGCCTATTGGTTGTTTGCCAACGGTCGTTTTATTACTGACCCGAATCACATTTCTATAGTAATTATCCTGCATAAGTATTAGACAGCTTTCCAACCATGTCTGTTAGTATAACCATTTCATTGCCATGCATTCGACAATGCCTTTGTGGCACGACTTCCGTTTTCCACTATATTGTGATATCAAGGAATCAGTTCGTGTATGGCTCCGGACCAACATTATGCACTGTGCTACATTACAGTTCATCGTTTCCCGCTTCTCCTCTCTAAGTTTATGGCGGTTATATGGTAGCGAGATACGACTTTAGCATTGCGTATGACGGTCGCACTGGCGACGATGCTGCGAAACGTAAATAAAAAATACCACAGATTGTCAATTTCGGACTATACAGACGGTCTGTGTAACGAGCAGCTGGACTGTGTGCTCTCTAGCCATCTAATCACGAATCTTGCGAGCGAAATAGTGTACACTGTAAGATACAACTATAGCGATGGTTATCGGGGCTGTGTATGAAAGGAGGGGAGGCTAAGCGCGATGACTTGGTCGAGAGGAATAAAAAAACCTCACTTCGAAGTTGGCCTCGGTTGGTGCATCTCGACTGCGGGGCTGGGGTCCGAGGAACGATGAGCACCTTTGGTTAGATACGCTTGCTGGTATGGCGAAGAGCCGGTCCCAATGACGTATGGGTTGTGCGTTTCTTTGTCCACCCCTCCCCATCGAATTTTCACCTCCAATTACGATCTCATGCCAAATGCATGATATGATATCTGACATAACATTACTCGCTTTTTGAAGTTTTTATATTCTGTAATATTTAGTATCTTATCTTTTTTACATTGCAGCACATTGGCTGAGGTGTGTTTCTCACCCTCAACTGAGATGTATTGTTAATGAGGTACCTACACATATCTTAACTCCTGTTTATGTGCCACAGTCATATGTCTTTCTCCTCATCGCTTTTCGGCTCACAGGGCAAATACATTGTGTGCTTCGATCCACTGGACGGCTCGTCCAACATTGACTGCATGGGTTCCATCGGAACTATCTTCGCTATTCTACGCCACCAGGGTGATTTCACAGGAGATGAGACCACAGATCAGGCGCTGCAATCCGGACGGCAAATTGTCGCCGCTGGATACGCTCTCTATGGCAGTGCCACAATGATGGTTCTATCAGTCGGATCAGGTGTCCACGGATTCATGTTGGATACCGTGAGTCCCCGTTCCCAATGTTGTTGTGCTTACTATGGCCTGGCTGTCTTCTTTTGCGCGTCCGTGTTGCAGTGGACTATGACTGAATACCGTGTATACGTTTTTGAGAGAGTTGGTCGCAGCCAGCTGGTGCTTTTACCGGTGTTACCTCCGTTTGACAGAGTCTAGCTGTTAGGAGAATCACTATTTGACATTCGTTTTTTATTAACGATCTAGCTGTTGTTTTCCACTTTTCCTATCGTCTTTTTTGACAGTTGTTTAAACGGTCCACTTCTTTAATCCGATTGGCAAACGCACGTCGTTAGTAATGGACGCTCACTCTACGTGTCAGCTTCAGCAGCATCATTACCGAGAAGATATTTGATTGAATTTTGTTCCCATAAATTTTTATTTGATTATCTTACGAGAATATCTAGTTGACATACTGTTTTGTATTTGCTCTTAATTTCCGGGTCCGCATTTCTTTCTATCGTCTGTCTCGTGATTTTAGTTTAAACACACCATTTCGTTATTCTGATTGGCCAGCACCCGTCGTTGTGAATGGATGTTCACTTTACGGTTTGGGTCCCATAATGCCATTTCCAAGGACATATCTGATTGGCTCTTCATTCCACGACCGCTCAGTCGCTTGTTGCGTTTAGCGTCTTCCCTCTGTTTGGTTGACTGTAATGTATTTTAGTTTCATTTTAAACTTTTTCGAAACTATATAAGCCAGTGTGATTTAATGTCTCTATATCTTTCCTGGTTTATCTTCTTCGTGGGGTGAAGGCATCGGCGGCGGCGACACAACAATGTCTGATGAGTTTCATATCCATGCCTGTTTATTCGGTTCAACTACTCGTTCACTTGTAGATATCCTATCACTTGGTCAGGTAAGCTAATGAAAATGCGGTAAATAGACTTGGTCGAATTTTATCTGTAAAACCTTTGGCGTTTATCTTTCCACGGTTTTTGATCTTTTTGTCGACAAATTTGTAGCCTGTGAACAGAGGAACTCATGGCTTTATCGGCCAGGTGAAGAATTCAGTATGTGTTCAACCGGGGGCTACAGAAAATGCCTACCATCTGGTATGCATTTGGGAGTTTTGAGCTAATTCTGTCAGCCCATTGCATCAGCCATGCACGATGACCCCATGTGGTTCCAGTTGTCTACGGCCGTTTTCCCGTCCCAATTACGGCTTTAGGCTCACTAGGTGCGTGATCCTAACGGAATCTGTATACCGTGGCGACGATATTCATCAACAACAGTGCATCCGCCATTTAAGCTTATGCTTTACTACCGTACGACCACAACGACCTACGTAAAAAAGAATAACAAGAGAGAAGGGGGACTTACCGGAAAACCTCAATGCCTTAAGCAAACATTCTGGGTCAAAGCGCCCACACCTTGTCAACAACATACCATCACAAACAGCTGGCTATCGTGCAAAAACAAGGTGGCATCCGCAAAACAGTTTCCTTGTGGCTTTCACTGCTCCGCATCCTAATCAGAAATTACCACCCAGATAACTCCGCACCAAACACACTTTAAACAGACAGTCCGACTAGGAGACGGCATCAAACGCGCCACTGGTGTGGGTTGCGAGCCGTTCTGTAACATCTCGGTTGAAACACAAGGCGAGTCAAGTAATTCCCAGAGTGGAAAGCGCGATGGACCAACGACACTGAGTTTGATCCTCAGTGACTTCATTGCCCGCTGCCAATTTAGCTTTTCCCACTTCGGGCCTTGTGCCACCCTATATCTGACAAAACAAACAAGGCTTTCTTCGATAAGCGGTGACTGGACACACGCAGCACCTACCCAAGGCAACGCATTCTTGGTGCTATCTGTTGTTCTAAGGAACTAGGTTAGTTATCACTGACTAATACTCGCTAACGCTCATTATCATTGCGGGCGCGTTGGTGCCACCTGACACCAGCAATGCTCCGCAGACAGCGATGACCAAAGACTTGAGGGCGCCTCAGATCGAAGGGGCCAAGTTTCACTTCTACAACCTAGGACGATTCTCATTGCGGCCTTATAAACACGGCCTTTTAGGCCGAGTGAAACTGCTTTCTGACGCCAAAGATATCACAGATACAAGAAGGCAGTTCTGGCTTTTGCAACACGTGAGCTGACTTCAGTGGTTATGGGCCCATCGTTGCTGATGCAGCTGCTAAGGTGAGTTAATGAACGACCTCCAATTCGCCGCTATCAAGAGTCGATGGGTCATCAAGGGGCTGGTGGTCCTGCAACAGCACGTTGCACTTTGAAGGTTCGAAGCGCGTGCCAAATAATGGGACCACACTAGAGAGCTTATTCAGGGTTGTTCGGACCGCCGCGACATTGTTAAATAGCAAGACAATATCGTCTACATAATCAAGATCAACTAGCCTTTCGTCAGGCAGCATCTAAAAGCCTGCATCATGAGGCTCCGCAAGTGAACACTTCATAATGGAGTCCACGACATTGACGATGTTCTGTAGACTGCTGTTGTATGGCGTCCATCTGCAGTGTGCAATCGGTTACTGCCTGAATTTTGAGACTATGAAAATATGAGTCATGTTATCTTTGAGTTGAATTCAACGTTTGTATATTTTTCCACAGTCTACTCAGCTTTGATAGATGTATGGGTCCTTTTGGTGGTGGTGTTTCCACATTTCTTGTTGAATTTCAATGTACTTTCAAAGTGTTCACCGATCACAGCCTCATTCTCACTTCTCACCTTTCTGTCTCGCTGTCTCAACGTTTGCCTTCTCAAGTCCATTGGGGAATTCATTTTGACGCAAAGAAACATGCGCGTGAAATCTCGTGGAAACATCTACTCCATCAATGAGGGATATGCCTCTTTGTGGGACGATGCAATGAAGGAGTATATTCATGAGAAGAAATTCCCTAAGGTACGCTACTTTCATTTTGATTCTCTCACCGCTGTTACTGTTTTTATCACTCCTTTCTCAGGCTAAGCCACGTACGGACCCCATTGTGGTCAAACAGGGACATTGTAGAGTTACGTGTATGTTTTAGAGCACTTCGAAACACCATTGACTTGGGTTAGTTATTCAGTGTTCCAACGAAATATGTGAATATCCTTCGTGCTCTATACTCGAACACTACAGGCCGCGTCAGGGTCTACGGTGTCCTATCGGATAGCTTTCCGACCACAAGTGGCGTTCATCAGGGTTGTCCGATTTCCTCATTTCTGTTCAATTTCGTCGTGGATTCTATCATGGAGTGTTCCCTTGCGGAATCTCACGATGTAGGGGTTGAAGTGCTGCCTGGTGAACGGTTAGTTGATCTAGATTATTCGGACGATATTGTCTTTCTTTTCGACAATGTTGAGGCGGCACAATCAACCCTGAATAGCCTATCCAGAGTGGTTCCATTATTTGGTATGCACTTCGCACCTTCAAAGTGCAAAGTGTTGCTGCAGGACCACCAGCCACTCGATGACCCCTTGACGCTTGCTAACGAGGAACTCGAGGTGGTTGATCAATTCACTTATCTTGGCAGCTGCATCAGCAATGATGGGCGCATAGAACCTGACATGAGCTCACGCATTGCAAAGGCCAGAGCCACCTTCTTGAACCTACGTCATCTTTGGCGACAGAAGGGAGTTTCCCTCCGTCTGAAAGGCCGTGTATACAAGGCCACAGTGAGCGCCGTTCTGCTCTATGGTAGTGAGACTTGGCCCCTTCGGTCTGAAGAGCTGAGGCGCATTCAAATCTTTGATCATCGTTGTCTGCGAAGCATTGCTAGTGTCGAATGGCACCGGCGTGTCCGCAACGATGATGTGCGTAGACGAGTACTAGGTAGTGATAATCATGCTAGCTCCCTAGAACAACAGATAGCACTGAATAAGTTGCGTTGGCTCGGGCACGTGCTACGTATGCCTGTTCACCGCTTACCTAGGAGGGCCTTGTTTAGTCTGCCAGGTGTAGGGTGACGCAAGGCTCGAGGTGGACAGAAGTTGACTTGGCAGCGGGAAATGAAGTCACTGACGACCAAACTGGGTGCCGTTGGTCCGTCTCGCCTTCCGAGCTGGAGTCCACATGATTCGGCTTGTGCTTGGTTCGAAACTTTACAGGACATGGCCCGCAACCGACGCCAGTGGCGCGTCTGCTGCCGTCTCCTAATCGGATTGTCTGTTTAAAGTGTGTTTGGTGCTGAGTTATCTGCGGGGCAATGGCTGATTATGACGCGTGGCAGTGAAAGCTTCAAGGAAGCTGTCTCTCCGATGCCGCCTTATCTTTGCACGATAGCCAGCTGTTTGTGACGGTATGTTGTCTACACAGGGTGTAGGCGCTTTGACCCTGAATGTTTGCTTAGGGCATTAAGGTTTTCAGGTAAGTCCCTTTCTCTCCCTCTTCTTATTTTTTATTTCATAGATCCTCATGGTTGTATGGCAGCGAAGCATCAGTTCAAATGGCTGATGTACTGCTGATGATGATGATGAGTTATTCAGTGTCACCTGTTACTCCATTCGGTGACATTCTCACTGCAACTGCTTCTGCTACGTATTGCTCAGGTATTCCTATTTCGTAGTTGGACACGTGACCCCGAACTCGGAGTGAGAAGCCACAACCGGATAGCACACGCAGTATTGTATTGTGCCACATACATCGAAAGTGGAAAATATAAGCGGTAAGACGACCCAATCAACACAACAATAAAAGGAATGTGACAATGCTGTCTGATCAATCGTGTATGTGTGTGTGGTTGTTTGAGTAACGTTAACACGTGCGGCTATAACATCTACTTATTTGTAAAACGTAACGTTGTATCGGTTTAGGTGGACGCTGTGTTTTGCGAATGGCGATCGGCTGATCGGTTTCGTCATTTTGGGGTTTGTTCGTCCTCTCGCTCTTCGGTAACAAATCTATCACAGCTCGAGAAGCCATCATACTGCCGTACATTGTGACCACAAGCTAGGTTCAGGGAGCGCGCTGGTAATTCCGTTGATATTATGCTGGTCCCCGCAACTTCCGCAAGGGCTAACGATTGCTTACATTGAAATGCTATTACTACTACTGCTACTACTACTACTACTGCTACTACTACTACTACTACTAATAATAATGGCGGTCGGTCACTTGACGTGGGATAAAAATGGAAGATGATTTATACCGATCAGAACAACATTTACTCGAGTTGACTAACATAACGGCGTGCTAGGGAGTGTAGTAGAGGGAATTTCTCCGTTTTTAATTGACAAAATGTACTATGGTCGCAGAAAGCCAATATGTTCAAAATGTACTATTGCTACGAAATATGTTGCTTACTCGTCAAAAACCAGTTACCAACACAGTTGACATCACGCTTCCGGAGCTAAACTCGACCTGATCACTCACTGAGCATGTTTCGATTATTGAAGCGGGATTGGTAGTTAACTGTGCGTCCCGTAATTACAGGTAACTGTGGCATTAATGTTCTGTTTGTGAGGCGGTCTGGTTAGCTAAACCTGACGATCCCAGTGACCGTATTGGCTGACTTCAAAGTCAACGGAGGCCACGACTGAGATTGCGTGTCGCAATCCAAGATACACGGCGGGTGCTCCAGAACCCGAAAATCTACTACTAACCGCTGTGTCAAACGCTGCTCGCGGAGCTCAATGGCCTAGTGATCATGGTGATAGCTGCCAAGCATTATGCGCCTAGTTTCACTCTCACCTCGACTAGTTCTACCTGATGAGTCTAAACAAAGACGAAACTGTCGGTCGTGGAGTGCTGGGATGGGAGTGAGCCACACCGAAATGTTCTTTTCCCCTAACGCTATCAAACGACTCGATATAGAAAACGAACAAGCATCACTAGGCACGTGATAAAGAAGCAATCTCAACGAGTGGAGGTATCCGACCACTTTCGATTAATGGACCATTGCAAATTCAATCTGCTTGTGAGCGGCTAAGAAGAATCGGGACAATTTCATCAAGAAATGTTTCTACTTATTAGTCATTGCTTTACCTCCTTCAGAAGTGGATAGCTACGAAAATATTTTAGCGCTGCTTATTTGCCACACCACAAAATCGTCCGTAGCAACAAGGTTTACGAAAAATCTATACCTTTACAAGTTTTTATGAGTTACTAAGCTCGTAATACCGGCTTTTATCAGTTCCCTGGCATTTCTCTCCATGAGACACGATCAGTGTGAACAGTAACTTTGCGACAGCGAGAACCAGACGACATTTGACCGGAATAACCTGAATTCAGCGTATTTCCTTTCTTCTCAATCAGCCTCTATACAGACAAACAGTGGAAGGATTAAAGGAATACAAATGAGAAGGGATCAATAGGACTGAGAAATTCAAGCTCACTGCCTGTAATGACGAGGAATACGCTCTACCAAAGCAAGGCGAGACTGGCCACAAAGTCGATCTTTTTGCAGAGTCTTGGCTTTAGTCACCAGATGGCGAAAGATTCAGCAAATCGAGGTAGGCTCGGAGTATGCTACCTGTTGATAACTATGAATGCGTTACGATGGTCCTCGCACAAGGTGCAATCAAGCAGATGCTGAGCGATTGAGCTAGCAGGAAACTTAGAGCCATTTATTGCCAAATTCCGTGGAACGTATTGCATGATCCTCGTGGATAGCCTCCTCTCAGTTCAAGACCAGAAATCGGTTCAAGGTTAAGCATTTTTTCGGTAAACTCTCTTCAGACCCAAACGTTTATATAACACTGATTGTGTGGGGTAAGCGTCAAATCGGGCTGGGATTGATTTCTAAGGTGTTTGAACGCCCATGACCCATGAATTTATGCGGCTACAAATGGCAAGAAAGTGCACCAAAGGAAACTTAATACTTAAGCCTCAGCAACCTAAAGTAAATAGGGAAGGTCACGAAGGGAATTAAGTAACCATGTCAGTCCACCACAGTAGTAGTATCGGCCGTATGAGTCGTTTGTGTACACATGACAGATGGTGGATGCGAATAGCCTCGACAATAGACAAGATTTCCTTTTGGAAGCCTTGCGAGAAGCGTTCAGGTAGTACTGGTTTAACGACTGGCTTGAGGTTCAAGGCAGCACTGGTGATTCTGCAGCTTTCTGGACAAGGTTGGAGCATTTTTCCGTGGCGTCTATTCATCTGCGTAATCTGACTGTCATTGATTTTTACCATCGCATCCTTAAATCTAATGGGCACGTCAGATTTTGAAGTGGCAGAAATGTTGATCCTCCATGGCTTCCGAATTTGCGACCACATTTGTAGCAGGATTCAATTTGAGCAACCTCTGACATTCTGAGACAATTTCTTGCAATGTCAGCTTCAGTTCCAGTTTCCATACTACTTGAATGTTTAACTTTTGTGATAGCACTTCGATCAACTACCTGTGTGATTTTTTGAACTGCATCTGCTGCTCCTGCAAAAGTGTCTGCAATTGTTCAAAGCTGACTGTCATTCTGGGTTCCAGTGAACTCGCGTCGCCACTGTCATAACGCTGCCTTTCGCCTCTGCTTATGTGCGCTGCCAACCAGGCGGGGAAAACAAAAGGCCGAGCTTGGTAGACCGAAGTATATTAGGTACAGAACATGGATACTTTTGTAAGTCACATGTGCTTGCTGGCGTCGTCAACCTTGAAAGTTGCGGTAATAGATCTGATCAAATTGGGACGCCGGAAAGGTCTGGCATTGTTACGCATCTTCTTAGTCAAAATTGGACGACTCGCCAGGCAACATGATTCTTTATGCCCTTTTCTGCCGCAACGGTCGCAAGTGTGAGTTTTGAATGGACACTCGCGGTCAAAATGCCACTCTCTACAAAAGCAACATGCAGTGGGAGATTTAGAATGCGGTGAACTCACGTGGGAAGCTTCTTTTCGGGGAGTACGGCTGACTGCACAGACAAAATCTTGATCGTTCTGGTTGTACAACTGCTGAATCATTGCGGTATCGTGCTTCAGATTCGTCATGCGTTGGCACTCACCGGTCACTTGCTACAATGTGACATCCGGATTCTGTTCAATTTTGTTCAGTATTCGTGTTCGAATGTCGGCGTCTTTGGATGCTGGTAGATCACAAATGTATATGAGATACTTAAACTGATCACTTGTCATCTTGTGTATTTGTTACCGTTCGCACTCTCGATTCACACGGCTGGAATAGTCGACCCAGTCTTCGTCCTCTTTTTTGTTATTGTCAGACACTTGTACCGGATGCTGAACAAAGATGTCTGCTCTCCGAAAATCTGCGACAGGACTGCAACCACTTCGTCGATTTCGTCAGCTTCCGGTTTGACCATGACAACGAGTCTGTCAGCCGCTCATGTGGTCTAGCCAATCTCGCCCCGCTAGTGTGTGCACCATCGTAGTCAGCTGTTTCGCCTCCGTGGCAACTAGATGGTTTAGCCTTAACATATTCATGACAACAGTTCACTAGACTAGATTTTGGGTTCTCAACATCACTAGAAGATGTTGGAAACAGGTCTCTAATTTGTACCATTAGGCTTTCAAACTGCACTTCCAAGGCTGCCTGATCTATTTTCTTATACGGAATACAAAACTTCGGCTTAATACTACACTGGAAAGGTTGAACACATACTGTCCCGGGTTATTCGGAAAGGTCAATTGTGTGACCTGGTTGTGAAGCGTACTAAGTAATTTCCTTCGCTTTCTTGCTCCCATTTTCAGCTTAACCAATTCTACATATTCCTCAAAAGGCCGTCTCAGATTCTCAGACAAGCCTAACACCGATGGAAACCTTTGCGAAATGAATCTCTCCAGCTCCGACAGTTTAACGCGGATGGTGTCCACATAACTGAATGCATGTCTTTTCAAAGTTTTTGCGTTTGGGTAGAGGCCACAGCGCCGTATCTCTCTCCAAAAGTGTTTTGGATAGCGGCTTGCCTGTACGCATTCATTAAGAAATTCCAATTCAACCCTGGGTTCCTCCAGCCGAGTACTGAACATCAGATACTCATTCAAAATCTTCAACAAATCACGAGCAGTGCTGCTTTTCAGCACAGCAAATATTCCCATTGTAATCAGATGAACCAATATCAGATATCAGTTCAGGGTGAAGTATTCTTTTCCGTAAACTCTCATCGGACCCAAACATTTACATAACACTGATTGTGGGGAAAGCGTCAACTCGGGCTGGGATTGATTTCTGGACTGTTTGAATGATCAAAATCGAGAACTTGAGACAGAGATAGAGATGGCAAACTAAGTAAACTAAACGCACATGCATACGCAAAGCTTATTAGTCCAAAGTAATTAAGCAGGTAAGATAACAACCAAATAAGTAAGTAACAGTCTCCGTTGGCCAAGGTAGTATTGTCGACCGTATGAAACGTCTGTGTGCACATAATGTCGGCTTCAGATTGTGGATGTAAATAGTCTCGGCAATAGACAAGATTTGCTTCCGGAGGCCTTGCGAGAAGCGTTCAGGTAGTGAGTACATGACTTTAAAATCATTCTCAGATGCAGTATGGCCACTCCCGAGGAGGTGGGACATGAATGAGCTGTCTGAGGACCTCATTTCGCCTTTGTAAAACCACGCCGGGATGTGCTCGCGAATCCTCTGGGACAGACGTCTCGTTGTGCAACCCACGTATCGTGCACACAGGAGCACGGGTACTGATAAATGAGCACTGAACGGGTCAACGATGGCAGACTATCTTTCAAGGGTTTTGCAAGCAATGGCTTGTTGTGGTAAACAATTCTTAAGCGGTCAGCGAAGTAAGTTTTCTCGACAGCATCTTTCAGACGTCGAGATAAGATATCGGCTGTGGTATCGCCCTTAAATGGCAAATGTATGAATAGCTATTTCTTGGGAGTAACACTCCTAGGTGGCTTTCGCTTTCGTTCTTTCAGATGCTTCATGATAAACTTATCGGGGTAACCATTTTCACGAACGGCATCGCTGATTCTCTGTAGCTCTTCGTTGAGGGTATCCGGAGTGCAAATACTGCGCGCCCTGAAGGCAAGAGATCGGATTAAACTCCTTTTGTGCTGTCACGGGCACTGCGCTGTGAAAGTTAGTGTAATGTCCAGTCCACGTATGCTTTCTTTGTACCTTTGCGCTACATGAGCCGTCCGAGTTGCGGATGACTTCTACATCCAAGAAAGGTAAACGGTCTTCGTTTTCGTGTTCACAGGTGAAGCGTAGATTCTCGTGGGCGTCACTAAAGGCCTTCAACAACAGTTCTGCATGTTTTCGGATTCGCAAAGCACGAAGGTGTCATCGACATACCGTACGTACATTTCAGTTCCACAGATGTGCGTCCTGAGTTGGCCATGTTCTAATTTCGCCATAAAGATGTCAGCCAACAACGGCCCCAACGGAGATCCCATGGCCACTCCATCCATCTGACGGTACATCTCACCATTGAACGTTAATTGAACATTTAACGTGCAGCGAAATAGTATCTCGTTTAGCAAATCCTCCGGAAAGGTAACGTATATTGGTAGTTGCACGTGCTACCTCAAGTGGAATGTGTGATTGACCTAGTTGTCGGACACGCGCTGTCTGCCGTTGTTTCGTCTCGCCTTCCGGGCTGGGATTCCACGTGACTCGCCTTGTACTTTACAGGACATGTCTCGCAAACGACACCAGTGGCGTGTGTGCTGCCGTCTTTTAGTCGGACTGCATGTTTCAAGTGTGTTTGGTGCGGAGTTATCTGCGGACTAATGGCTGATTATGACACGGGGCGGTGAACGCCGCATGCAAGGTGTCTCACCGATGCCGCCTTATCTTTGCATGATAGCCAGTTGTTTGGGACAGTATGTTGTCTACATAAGCTGTAGGCACTTTGGCCCTGAATATTTGCTTAGGGCATTAAGGTTTTCAGGTAAGCCTCCCTTCTCTCCTTCTTATTCTTTATTTCATAGGTCCTCATGGTTGTATGGCAGCGAAGCATCAGTTCAAATGGCTGATGTACTGCTGTTGTTTGCCACTGGGTGCAAGACATGTAGTGACACGTGAGAGGACACATAAAATAAACCGAATTCAAGTTATCCCGCTCAAATGTTTGATCGTTCTTGGTGTCTTACTGCTTTGGCAAAGGAAATGGCTGCACGAAATGCGAACAATGTCAGTCTAAAAGTGGGTTCATTTTGACGTTGCTCATTCTGAACCTATCCGATACGAACGGTGCTACACGCCGGCGCATCCATAATAAAACCACAACTCGTCTCAACGCGCAATGGTCTCGTCTTCCCACCCCTTGATCCACACAGTGTAACTGACCACACTGGGTGTTATACACCCTGACGGACAGTTAGATATATATCAACCATTATCATTCCGTTTGCTGATCCTTGTGGACGGTCGATTTGGAGCAAGGAAGTGCATTCTGTTTCTGAGTTTACGACTACCAAACGGCTGTTGCGTGAAGCTTCGCGCTGATAATCTGTTTCTCTGATATTTCTGCTATCCTATCGGTTCTGTACATGAAAGGTTCGACTAACATTGGCACTTCGTTCCGTATTCTTTCTGTGAATCACTCGATATGGAAGGAAGACGGAACGCATTGTTTGCATGAATCGATTTTCTCCTCCTATTTATAGAAGACACCGATTAATCGCGTGTTTGCCCTATTTCTCATTCACTTCATTTTTTCCGCACGTAACTCTTCTCCCCTATTTTGAAGATCACTTGGTAAACTGTACGATAGTGGAAGTGTAGGGTACCTTAGCCGACATACAATGGTCAGTTTGTTTTGTTCGTTTGTTTTTTCATACGTAAACATTGACGACAACACTCCCAGGCACTAGTTTTTTCCGGTTACGCAACATGTGGTCTCTATGGGTGTGGCAACACGGCATCTCGTTTCACAGAGCGCTCGATCGGCTCGGATGCCTTATGTGGTTGTCAGCTGCGTACGTGCCATAACCATTAGGTTGTGGAAACGATTGAACATGTGTTGCAGTAAGAATTGACAATCTGTTTTTTTTCTGAATTTATGCAACTGCGCTCATTGTTTATGCGTCACTTCACCCCCTCGTTCTATCCTTCTTCGCAACAAATAGTCTGGAAAACCCTACGGAGCCAGATACACCGGATCCATGGTGGCGGACGTGCACCGAACCCTGTTGTATGGTGGTATCTTCTTGTATCCAGCAACCAAAGAAGCACCCAAGGGAAAGGTAAGGGGTTGCCGACGTTGGTCCCCTTTTATGTTACACTCACACGAGTCAATGTCTATTAGATTCTGTTATAATTGAGTCGCCACTGTTATGATTGCGTAGATTGCCTTAGTCGTCGCCGCTGTTATAATTGAGGGAACGCCGCCTCTTGAGGTAATTGCGTGACAAAATTGTCGCTCGCACGGTTGGAGCACGCCTACGATGACACTAGCTTAGCCGGTGAGACGGAAAATTGAACGAGCGTGGGAACGATCTTAGCCGCACTTGTTCGTATAGACGCTGAGGCCTCGAAAACGGACGCACACGAGAGGGGGTACGATAGACGCGCGCTAATGACTTAGACGCGAAGGCTGGCCAGCTAACGATTCACACGCAATCACGCGACCCGACCGACTCCCAACTGAGGCGAAGAGAAAGAAAAGACAAGTGGTCCTCTGTAGGCTCTTTTACGACCGACAAAGGGCGATCACAGTCAGTGCTATTGGTTATTAAGTTAGGAAAAACAGTCCCCACGCAGAGGTGGTAGATTGCAAATGAGCATTGTCAAAAGGTTCGCAGTTGGGACGCGCCTCGGAGTGGCTGAACACTGCTGCGTTGTGGGGAGAAATTGGACTCCGCTTCCCACAGCCATTATGCCGGAGTTACTGGCGCGTTTCTTGCGGGGATTTTTGACGGGCCCGCAACAGATTCTTGTCACCGATTATCATAAGTGCTCTAGTCACGTTAACCCCGTGTTGGGGGGAGGGATAGGTTGTGAGGCCACTCACATACTGCTGTGCACAAATAATTTATCTTAGTTTCCAAAGGTTCATCTTAGCTATCTTTCGGAATAAACGGACAAGCAAACGAACATCGTTTCCTGCGAAGTAGCAAAGGTTGGATAGGTAATGTATTAGTAACTACTTTCTCGACTCTGTTTCATACCTTGCCTCTTCCTGATAACAAGTTTGTGTTTGTGGTCAAATTGCCATCCGTGTGTTCTCCTCCGAAAGCTTGTGTGTGTGTGTGTATGTGTGCGTGTGTGTGTGTAACGCTTCAGGTTGACAAGTTGACCACATCTGCGGACCTCTTGTGTCACGGCTCCCAAAATGCCACGAAGAGAGATCTGAAGAGGGTACATTTGTTAGCTTGTGTGCTTGAGGTATCATCATCGATTTTGAATCTTCTTAATAGCCGTCAGTGGGTACTTCCACTCGGCAACATACACCAAGGCGAACGCCAGGTATCTTCAGAGTCGACTTTTGCACTCGATCTAGTTAGTGGTACAGTTCAAATATAGAAACTCAGGTCCAGTTGCGCACTTCCTTCGTGGTACCTTTCCGAATCTCCGGTCCGCTGCTCATCTACATTCACAACTTATCGACGGAGGTAGATTTCTGCATCACGCGTCCGTTGTCCGCGGCGATCCACGATTTCCCTCATTCCCTTGCGCCTCGTTTCAACACATACTACTCACTAGTAATGTGCCACAATGCAGTTAATTTTATTCCGTGATATACAAAAACATTTTCCCGCGTGCCTCACAAGCGGTTACTGAAAAATGGAGTCATTTGGAATCACAGAGATCCACAACTGGTTTGGTTGACATCATACCTAAGGGGGGCGTTGCTAGGTAGTCGCTCTGAGTGCCCAATACTCTTCCCCAGGTGTAATCACTTGTGGTGTCATCCAAGTGAGCGTACCTGGCCCTTCTCTTTTCTTACTGTATATAAGCGATATCAAACATCGCAGAACATTTTGTTTGGTCCCTGAAGGATCCATTAACTTGATTAATGAATGCATCTATGTAAAACTCTGTCATCTAAGCATACGATACTGTGCAAACTTCAATTTGAAACATGAATTTCCCTTTATAATCCCAAATAAGAATATCGGAAGACGAAGATTATGGGATGACATTGTCATTTTATGCATACAAATCAACTACCATACAAGCAACTAAAAGAGGATGTAAAAATCAGATCCCGTGAAATCAAATCACATGTTTCCCGATTGCTGCGTGGCACGGTACCATGGTAGGCTTAGTGTCACTGTCAGCTGCTTTTATACACACTGTCGATGGATCACAATAGCCTCGAGTAGCTTGAGTATGTGAGGCCTGCGACTGACTCATCTGGGTTCACTTGGTAATGTCTCGTAATCGCGGAGACAACTTTGCTTCCCCATTCACCGCGGATGATCATCACATTTTCCAGCTTTTTGCGGAGCCAATTTGGTATGTGTTCATTGATCCGAACACCCAGAATTCGAGTATTGCGCAGTCTGAGTATCAAATAGCACTACATCATTTATGTGAACATGCGTATGCAGTGAAAGTGTCTAGAAAATCTACAGATATTATTCACTAAACATTATTACTAATTCGTCCATGTTGACCTGTGAGTAGCGTTGCCAGTGGCTTAAGCTCGAGCCTCATTGGCTTTGACGACTGAAACAGAACTTGATGCTCATACACAATCATCTCCTAAACCGGAAGACATGCTTCAATTTGTTAACAACAACTTCACCTGGAAACTTCACAACAAGAAAAACAACATAATTGTGCCAAGAAAGGGGACAGCTATTCGATCCAATTTCTTCTTGGTTAGATACGCTGTCGTGTGGAATAGCTCACCAGCCACTATCAGGTTCTGTACCATTGCAAGAAAATTTCGCATTGAACTTGGAAATTTCCCGGACAATAAATCGATAACAATCATGTTTTCTTCGGGCAACCCACCAAATGAGTTCTCGCGGAATAGGTCAAGAAATATGCAATCCACAAGTAATCTACCAACGCGCTTTGGACATCAGAAGGACAGATACTTTGGTCCATTGGAAAGTGACGATTGAGCGAGCCAGTCTGCAACACCAGGACAGATATTGTGAGCTCATTAGCAATACGTCGCGCACCAAGCAGAATATGAAATCACTCACGAGTAGCAGGATTTTAGTTATAATTCTGATAAGGCTTTCATCCCAATAGTTCACAAGCTACATAGCAGAGCCTAGTCCGGAAAAGCGCCAGACGCGTTTCGCCCTATTGGGGCTCGTCAGTGGCGCGCATTCTCTCGGTCCTCTAAGGAGGATCGAACCCATGACCGCTAGAGGCAGTTGTTAACTAGCCAGCAGCTTAAGCCACTGAGCCATGGGGGACGTTGGCTGGGCTACATAATTTGCAAACTAACTGGGGTATAGCACCACCTATCTACCACTGTCACTGATAGTGCTTAGCCTGCTACGTGATGACGTCCTCTCACTATACGCTATATCCATGGCATTTGGAATTAGGAGAGGCTATTTTTTATTTTAGACTACTCACGAGTAGCAGGATTTTAGTTATAATTCTGATAAGGCTTTCATCCCAATAGTTCACAAGCTACATAGCAGAGCCTAGTCCGAAAAAGCGGGCTAACCACTATCAGTGACAATGGTAGATAGGTGGTGCTATATCCCAGTTCGTTTGTAAATTATGTATCTCAGCCAACGTGCCCCATGGCTCAGTGGCTTAAGCTGCTGGTTAATTGGCATCTGTCTCTAGCGGTCACGGTTTCGTTTCTCCGCGGGAATGCGCGCCACTGACGAACCCCGATAGGACGAAGCGCGTCTGGCGATTTTCCGGACTAGGCTCTGCTATGTAGCCTGTGAACTATTGGGATGAAAGCCTTATCAGAATATGAAATCATTTAAAAATCATGTTACGTATAACTAAGCAATAACAAACTTATCAGTTGCGCTACCTGGATTACATCGCATAATTCATTTGTTTCAATTACACATTTGTACTGTCGTTCCTGTTTATGCAGAAAGCATTCGAGCGGGTGTATCAGCAGTCGTGACTTCACCTCGAGACCGTTTAGTTACGACGACTGAAACAACACTTGCTGCTCATGCAAACTCTCGCACCACAAAAGATATCTGTATACAGTATAGTTGCAACATAACTTCGCCCAGAGGCATCCTAACAAGACTTGTAAACTAATTGTGCCAAAAACCAGGGCAGCTATTCAATCCAACTTCTGCCGCGTCAGATACGCTGTTGCGTGGAATAGTCTGCCCGACACTCTCAGGTCCTGTACAAATACAAAAATATTCCGCACTAAACTTGGGAATTTTCTGGACCAGAGATTGATAATGATCATGTTTTGATGGGACAAATCACCAAACGAGTCCTCCTAAGATGAGCAAAGGAATATATAGCCAATGAGAAAATGTGTTACACAAAACTCAACACCAACAAAAACCATGTATTTTCGAATGTTTTGATGATACATGTCGTTTCAGAATACATATTCATGCATGAGCATAATCCTCACCGGACTTATGATTTCAGGGACAGCCTTCTGCATTATCTTGAGAAATATACACTTTATCATTTCCCGAGTCCCTTTCATACTTATTGATGCTAATGATCGAACAACGTTGAGTTGTGTCCAGCAGTTGCATGTACGCAAATCAATTGTGCTATTCCTACTGGTAGCAATTTGTGGGCCGCCCAACCAAACCTGTCCACAATCCCGCCATTTTTCATCTGAACATGCATCGGAACTCACCCATAAATTTATTTCTCGATTGTACACCAGCCTTTGGAGTTGGTCAAGATTTGAACTACCGATTAAAACGTCACGGTTGCATTAGCGTCTGATATTGCAATGAGCCCAGCGTTCTCTTTTCCACAGAAATGAATTCCTTGCCGTTGTCGATGTAATTTTTTTTACTGCCCATTACGCCGAGCACGGTATTTCAGTGTGATTTTTGGGACACCAGCATTCATCGGCCCTACTCTGGACACCGGAGCCATATAATCTACCAGACTCAATTATTGCAAGTAATTGCAGCTTGGAGTGTGTGGATGAGGGTGTTCGCTTGTTCTCTGGGCGGGATATTTCCCAAACTCGAGGAACAACGGAAGACTCATCCCCTACCAGATTTAATTCGCACTTTCGACGTTGAGAGGCTGCCAGTCCATCAGCATGCCATATACTTCTACGGTGCTGACCACCGGTGTTTGCTCACGTCTGATGGGAACACCTGGTGAGCAATGCTGAGGTCTGCCAGTTGGTTTTGGGGGAAGAAATCTTCTGGTGCCTTACTCGAGTGTTTGCTGAATCTTAATCGCATACGTTGGCTGGGCCATGTCCTCCTCTCTATGCCCGTTAACCGGCTTCCTCGGCGTGCAGTATACACCGCGACTGCACCAAATTGGGCGAAAGCGTGAGGTGGCCAGTCCATGACGTGACACAGATAGATGAAAAAGTGGATTGAAAGACTTAGTCAAGCTGCTGCTGCGTGGATGAGAGGAGGTCTCGTGACTGTCCACACCAATGGTTGGAGACCGTGTCAGACATGGCGCAGTCACGCAGTGTCCCTGCATTCGATTTCTCGCGTCTGTCTTTATTTTCGTTCCATTCTGTTTGCATCCAACTCCACTATCCTACTGGCGTTGTTTATTGTTATTTCTTACAGTGTGAGTCGTGGTAATTGGATCCACCGCACTTCAGTGCTCGGAACATAGTTGTTTGACTGAACTGGAGCTCTCCGCTTCGTCTCGCTCTATTCAGATCTTCGATGAAAAGATGGTCACAATGCGGTAAAAAAATTTCGAACATTGGAACACTGCCAATTTGTGAAACTTGTCTATTGGAGGTCAATGAGTTGGAGATGTGTCAACTCTACAGCTTTGAAATGGACACCTTTCAGTTCAGAGGTATTAAGCTTTTCCGAGTATTTGGCTTCTGATACTCACAGCGCAACTGCAGTCAAGTCAAAATAAGCTTATGAACCCTAATGGGTTGGTTCATTTTCAGCATGTCTGATGTTAGGTGGCGGTAATCAGCGCAAATCGCCTGATCAATGAATACGACTCAGAGTTTGTGTTGGCTCTGTCACATACCACTTATATACGTGTTGTGGGAACGTCACGGATTTCGAAAAAAATACGCACTGGTGGCGCATGCTGCAATGGGCAATCAGATATCTACTCCTCGTGGACCTCACAGTGTAACCACGCGACTTCCAAACCACAATACGGCATGCTTTCATGAGCAACCTCGTCCCGCCGAAACTCACCCGGCGTAGTGAGTCATTTGTTATAACAGCTGGTGCACCGATCTTTATCGATTTCGATGGGTCATTAAAGGCGCTTGTGCTTGATACCTGTCCGTGGTGCAATTGTGGGCTCGCGCTCGTCTTGCCTGAGTGCGTCAGGGTTTTCGCCCATGATCTCTATGGCGGATAGGGTTCGGGAGGGACATTACCGGTCCGAATGATAGAATCGTCTACTCGACACGTCATTTGGTTCGTCCCACAAAGGGGTTCTATATCAATATATGCTCGTTTACCAAACACAGGTGTTCCATGCGACAGGAATGGTAACTCGTCGCAATACTGGTGTCGTCGTTATCGCCCTACAGCTTGGTTCCACATTGGCGTTATACATGTCTGCGACAGGTGTGCACTCCGCGTGGCTCAATTTGTCGCGTGCGACCGTGAACGAAGCGGTAATCGGATCACTTTGAGAAGTTCCTTCCCTTTTAACCTAGACCCCTCAGCTGTTCATTTTACTATGCTCGTGTCGTCTTTCTCAGCTTCGAATATATTCTCTACCATAGTCCCCTTAATCGCGTCTGTGCCAGTCATCAGGATAAAACGCTTACTTTCCTTCTTCTAATTGATGGCGCAAACAGAGTGCTCAAATCATCTGTAGTCACTAATCTAACAGCCAGCCACCGAAAACACTACTCGCTTGCATTTTAATCCGGAAGTCACCAGTTCGAATCCACGTAAATGCAAACGATCTCGCGGTATACTTGGGGGACACGCTACAGGTGGCATGGCAACGGAGGGTTGGTACGGTGTACCTCTGATTCCTTTACTGCCTTTTTATGATCCAATAGTGACCGCCTAAGAAGTCTTCACTCACGCTGTGGTGTTGCGGAGCAGCAGTAACCAGGTAACATGGAATCCAGGTAGATCGAAAAACCAAATCCTACGGTGTGTTTACTGTGAACAGAATACTGTGGTCAGTAACCGAGCTCCAATTGTCTGTTTAGTAGATATTGAAATGCCGGCGCTTGTATTGCACTACCCATAGTGATCGCATCTACTCCCCCAGCTATCACGCCACCAGATGCAGGCAGCACCACATGAGCATATTGGTCAAGGTGACGTCGTGTTTGACCGCCAGAGCTCAATTCACACACACCATATATTCAGTGTACATCTGAAAAAATAAGACTGAAAGGCATGTGAATGGGAGCCACGAATCGTCCGAACAGACCCACATTCCAGTCTTTCATTTCAACAGGGAGAAACATGCATACCGTTGCATATACAGAGCGAATCTGCTCCACAATATCTCCCGCATCAAGGTTTCGGTATGATTCCGCACTCAAATTACGACAAAAATGCTGTGAAACATTCGGAAATTTACCATGTCAGTTTGTTTCGGATAAATACTGTTGCACTCTTCTTCTCACCCTGTAGTCTAAAAACAGCATATAAATAGCTAAAAACTGATTGTACCGAAAAGGGCTTGTCTCGTGTAACCGAAACTTTATTGTTGGTTGGAGGATCATTTTGAAGCACTTCTTGTGTAATTGGATTGCGACGCGCAACCAGTGTGCACCGCGATTCCCACGATTGAAGTCAACCTTGGTCATTCGATCACTAGGACCGTAGTTGAAGTAGATGGAAACTGAGTGTTGACCACCCGAAAACACTTCACACCATGGCGCGTTTCGACCTTATTAGATCTCAACAGTTGGAGATAGCAGGCCTCGAACCCGTGATCATTTGACTCTTGGTTGTGACACCGAGTCATGGCGGGCAACGCTTGGCACAATGGTTACTGACTGATTGAAGGGCCGTTTTATTATTATTATAAACTTACGCGGATAGAGTGAGATGGACAGCGCATACCAGCCGATGAAATGAGCTACAATTGGATAGTGATGTGTAAATGATTTTGGTATTTTTGATTGCTAAGTTTTTGGTAGGTACTCGGTCCTAGTTTTGTTTCCAGAATGACAACACAGCACTCCACACAGTCTATGTCAACTAAGCCGTCATTAAAGAAGGGAAGTGCGCTCTGGCTAGCACGCTGTGCTTCTGCTTATGACGAAGTCGGCTTGGAAGTTATTTTCCTTAATGTCGGCATCTACTGGCACAATGTATGCCTCCATCTCAAGTCAATTTTTTTGCTTAGATTTGGCGACTGCGAATGACCGATTTCAGTATTAATCTTTATAAAGCATGGTTTCTATGATCTAGCTTCAGTGATACGCTGCGCGCTTTTCCTTATTTAGCTCCGATTACTCTACGAATGCTATCCTATCGCTTTCCTGATGGAGCAATCAGGTGGCGCGGCCACAAACGGTGAGATACCGATTTTGGACATCCAACCAAAGCATATTCACGAGCGCACTCCCATTTTCCTCGGAAGCAAAGAGGATGTGGCGGATGTCATGGCTTTGATCCAGAAGCATCGTCGAGCCGGGTGAACACTTGCCCTCTCTCTCTCGGTGACACTTATATCCTGCTTCGCTAGATTATTTCCCCTCTGACCTTGCCAATTGTTGCTTGATCCTGTTGATTTGCCATGTTTCTATTTTCTTTTTTGATTTGCACCAGTTTCTGATCCAGAGAAATATTCCAGAGTACTGCTGACGTTTTTCTTATGTGTAATAATTATCGTCAATGGGGGATGTGTTAGCCGTTGCGTATGAACAAGTGTGATCAGCCTGAAGCCAGACGGTTTCATTGGTATAAGTGTGGGACCGTCGCAATGACCAACACAAAGGCGAAGAATCCATAGTTGAACGTACGTCGGGCTTGTACTTCTCTAGTGGTAATCGGCGCCTGCCGCCGACGTAGCGCAGGAATTGCAATGAGTATAGTGTTTCTTTGAGGTTGACGGGCACCCACTGGCCATATCACTTACTCGCTCTGGTTGCCCAACCGTTGTTCACGCTTAACGTAATTCCGAACAAATCCTGAATTTTCCCACCACCGTTATTCACCAAGGGGGGCTTGCTAGAAATCCGGAAATTGAACTACGCTGCTTACCGAAGCCAACCATAATGCAAACTTAAAACAACAGGGAATTTTATGAAGTTTTGTTCCCATTCGATTACTGCATTACTGGAGTGGTGTTTTGTCTAGTTGATAAATAGAGAGGCGCCGTCATTCACTCGACATTGTGTAGAGAACCTGTGCTGGTGGTGGCATTTTTATTTCTTCACCTAGCTACTTGCTCTAATGGGCAAGCATGTGTCACCGTTCGGTTTATATTTCCGGGAAGTTCCGTGTCCAGGCGTCGCTTCGTTCGAAAATAGTGGGAAGTTCGCTGTGGACAAGTCGACGTACGCTATTGTGTGTTGGTTTTTAAACAGAAAAGGACATGGACCGTATTCAACACGGTGGATCATCTCGAGACGAAGTTCAGAAAAGGAGCTGAGGATGCATGCAGAGAGGAGACAACTCTTCACATACTAAACGGCAACTTACTCTAACCGTCTCTGCAAAATGTCACAGCACAATTGCGTATGGACTATCTGCACTTCACCAACTGCACATTTCCCCTTTCAGTGATATACCCACGAGTAAACAAAGTCAGCGGATTCACTGGTACCCTACTGTATCAACAACAACCCAGATTCCACTCAGCATTGTAAGCGACTCGGAGCGAACGCACCTAGGTGATGATCCGAATGTGGCACAGTGGTGGTTTACGTACCTCGATGATCCATTGTGTTACCTTGTTCGATCCTATCTAGGTGCACACAGCTACTCGTACCAAATGACTCAATGTTCCTAGATTAAAGGAACTCCATGGAGCCCTTCGTCCCGGATTCATCCATTAGGCGATAATCGTGCTGCAAGTTGGCCCAAACCACAAATGTGTGTGGCATCTGCGCAGTGTGTCAGTCCAACGCCAAGCCAGTCATCGATTAAACTGTGTTCCTATTGGTTGGATCCACCAGTCTGTGTCCATTAACGCCAACTAACCATTGATTAGACTTCTAGACTTATGCGAAATGTTGTCTTTGTGGCGACACAATACATTCTCTATGTATTGCTGAAACAGACATGTTCTACTTTCGTGCGCTACGGGCCGAATATTGCGTTCTACTAAGTATCCTGGTTCAGTATGGGCGGAGTTGTGACAGAATGCCACGGACTGTTTTTGCCAATGAGACAGCAGCGTCATTCTCATCAGTTTGCTTTCTCTTGCCTCAGGTGAATCAGTTGCGGATTAAAATGGTGCGTTTACTGTTACGGTAACTGGCAGTTTGCGCAAACGAAACGGACACGCACTCAGTGGACTGGATAGTCAAGCAACGCCACAATCGTAAGTTGACCACGTTTACACGGACCGGTTGAACAGTCAATGGAACTCTGGTGTGTTACGGGTAAAAAAACAATGATTAACAAGCCCCATGAAATGGAAATTATTGCGAAAATGAAAAAAACGTTGTTAAATGAAGGCGTTTTCTCCAACAAATCATGGGCAGTGCTGATTTTCAGCACAGCAAATATCCCCATTGTAATCAGATGAATCAATATCAGGAATCACTTCAGGGTTAAGAATTCTTTTCGGTCAACTCTCTTCAGACCCAAACGTTTACATAACACTGATTGTATAGGGTAAGCGTCAAATCGGGCTTGGATTGATTTCAAAGGTGTTTAGACGGTCAAGATCGCTGATTAAATGCGGCTACAGATGGCAAGAAAGTTCATCAAAGGAAACTCAATACACGAGCCTCAGCAATCTAGAGTAAATAGGAAAGGTCACGAAGGGAATTAAGTAAACATGTCAGTCGACCACGGTAGTAGTATCGGCCGTATGAATCGTTTATGTACACAATCCCGGCTTCAGATGGTGGATGTAAATAGCCTCGACAATAGACAAGATTTGCTTCCGGAGGCCTTGCGAGAAGCGTTCAGGTAGTGAGTACATGACTTGAAGTCATTTTCAAATGCAGTATGGCCACTTTCAAGGAGGTGCGACATGACTGAGCTGTCTGAGGACCTCATTTCGCCTTTGTTAAACCACGCCGGGATGTGCTCGGGAATCCTTTGGGATAGACGTCTCCTTGTGCGACCCACGTATCGTGCACACAGGAGCACGGGTACTGATAAATGAACACTGAACGGGTCAACGATGGCAGACTATCTTTCAAGGGTTTTGTAAGCAATGGCTTGTTGTGGTAAACAATTCTTAAGCGGGCTGCGAAATAAGTTTTCTCAACAGCATCTTTCAGACGTCGAGATAAGATATCGGCTGTGGTATCGCTCTTAAATGGCAAATGTATGAATAGCTCTTTTTTGGGAGCAATGCTCCTAGGTGGCTTTCGCTTTCGTTCTTTCATATGCTTCAAGATAAGCTTATCGGGGTAACCATTTTCACGAACGGCATCGCTGATTCTGTGTAGCTCTTTGTTGAGGGTATCCGGAGTGCAAATACTGCGCGCCCTGAAGGCAAGAGATCGGATTAAACTCCGTTTGTGCTGTCACGGGCACTGCGCTGCGAAAGTTAGTGTACTGTCCAGTCCAGGTATGGTTTCTGTGTACCTTTGTGCTACATGAGCCGTCTGAGTTGCGGATGACTTCTACATCCAAGAAAGGTAAACGGTTTTCATTTTCGTGCTCGCAGATGAAGCGTAAATTCTCATGTGCGTCATTAAATGCCTTCAGCAACTGTTCTGCATGCTTTTCGGATTCGCAAAGCACAAAGGTGTTATCGATATACCGTACGTACATTTCAGTTCCACAGATGTACGTCCTGAGTGGGCCATGTTCTAATTTCGCCATAAAGATGTCAGCGAACAACGGTCCCAACGGAGATCCCATGATTACCCCATCAATCTGACGGTACATCTCACCATTCGAACGTGAATTGAATACTTAACCTGCTGCGAAATAGTATCTCCTTTAGCAAATCCTCCGGAAAGGTAGCGTATATTGGTAGTTGCCGGGTCAACTCGCACACGTATTCCACCGTTTCGTGCAGTGGAATGTTTGTAAACAGCGACTGGGCATCAAAGGATATCATGCTTTTGTTAGTAAAGTTGAGTTCAGATATCTTCTCAATGAATTCGAATGAGTCTCTCACGCAGTAAGTGTAAATCATATCCCGTAACGGTTGCAATTTGTTCACTATCCATTAGGCCAACAAGTGGTGGGGAGAACCCACCATGTCCAAGATTGGACGCACCGGGGCGCCTTCGTTGTGAACTTTACGAAGGTCATATAATCTCGATAGGTGTCCACCTGAAGGCTTCAACTTTTCGAACTGGCTCTTTGTGATAAGTTTGGCTTGCATCATTCGCCTGAGGCAGCTGGTCAATTGTTTCTCTAACTCCCCTGGGTTGTCCTCTCCGGCCATAAGCTTCTGGAACTTACGTTCGTCACTGAGGTTGTGCTGCATTTTACAGATATAATCCACCCTAGTTTGGGTTTGAGTTTACCGAAAAGAATTCTTAACCCTGAACTGATTTCTGGTATTGATTCATCTGATAGGCGTTTTGTTGGGCTCACCATAAGCTTGGGCAAAAGAGCGGAGATGTTCGCGTATTCAACGTATAGATCCAATGGTTGGTAGTTTGGTAACCGTTTTTGATTGTGTTTTATAGCATCCCGGGGCTAATTAGTTATGAAATGAAACGCAAATGAGACGTTGTGTGAAATTGTTTTTAAACATCGCTAGGTTAGGAGCAGAGACAGCATTCAAAACAGCTATACTGTATTGTCAGTTTCAGATGACGACCTCTTAGGTTAGTGCTGTGGCTCAATTCCAGCAGCGGGCTGCAAATGTGGTTTGGGTTCTTTAGAATCTGGTAAACCATTTTGAGATCCCTCCCTCAAACGCCGATATCGATTGCCGTACATTTTTAGAGACTTCAATCTAAGCCGATGGGGCAGATGAAAGACGCCTCTGAGGTTCTTGAATGCCTTTCGTTGAGGATTCTCGAGAGCAACAAGCTCCTGTTTCTGCCACGTCTGGATAACATATTCCACGTGCGGTGGCGCGTACGCGCTAAGCACTTGTGGGAAGATTGATGGTTCAAACCGACCGAACGCTCTGCGAAGAAGACCAAAGTGTTGATTGCCGGTTCTCGATGCCTCTGCTTGTTTTAAGCATCTGAGATCTTGTACCCGTACACCCAGGTCACACTCCTAAAATGCCTTCTGCAAGGTGTGGTCTCCAAGTTTGTACACGCTCATCGTTTGGTGACGCAGCTAGATCACCTTGCACTTAGCTGTGTTCAGATGAAGCACGTTCGTAGTTGACCATCCATGTTATTAATCACCCGTCATATCTTGACGTTATCGACAAAAAGTAGGAATTTTAAAAAGATAACTCTTGACTGGTCGTTGATAAACACAAAAGGCGCGACCTTAGCATCGAGCCCTGTGGGACAACACATCCCACCTCAATCAGGTCCGATAGTGATCCCCTAACATGCACTTGTAGCCTCCGTTGGGGAAGAAAGATGACAATCCAACCAAGAACATGATCTCCGACTCCTGGACGCGGTGATCCAGGCGGTGGAAGGCTTTGAAGAAGTCCAGATAGATGTCCCGTATACATCCATGAAGAGTGAATACTCAGCTCTAGCACACACGCCAAGGACAAGGATAGATAATGAAATAGAAACTACATGAGGATAGATGTAAAACCACATCCGTCGAAAAAATGTTCACGGAGCTAACATCATCGTCTATCATCATCAGAACTCGGATGCGCATATCACTAGGGAATGAGGCTAGGCACACACTTACAGAGCCCCTGTTAGTACCAAAAAAACCTGCATTGACTGAGTTACTCAGCGCAATCAGTGTAATACGCCTGTCGTCCTTGAGGACAAAATGGCTCACCAGCATAACGACTTGTAAATTTGCTAAAAACAAAGGTTGGCGAATCCGGTTCCGGATTTGCCTGTCATTGTGGCCTCCATAGGACCACCAGAGGATGACTGCGCCTACAGAGGGAAAATGGGTGGCTTGCGCTGCACCACCCACAGCTCCAGAAACAGCCACATCCAGTGTAACCCCGCAGGAATAAGATCTGGAGCCACGTTACATCAACGAGGACGGCCCACAATCCCTCAGCATGCACAGTAGCAACATTCCTGTCCATCGATGTAGGGAATAATTGGTACCAGATGTACACAAGGCGGTGCATGCGCCGTAGTCCGCTCCATAATGGATGGAACCACCTTTGAGCATAGCACAACCACGAGAACCGTACATCCCTTCCCTCCAGCAACGATTCAATCAACTGGCGGAAAGCCGGAAGCTGATGAAATCAGATCGTCATCTTCACACGGATTGCTATGTGACAGGGCGCGACAACAACTGGCCAGTGCGGACCGCAAGCAGTTTGAAATCGGTCCAGGACAAGTGAATTGAGTCAGCTCGGAACATACAACCGGAGATGACAGAATGTGACCTATAAAATGTACCATGTTCTGTGCCTAATATACTTCGGTCTAGCAGGCCCGGTGTTCTGATTTACCCCGGCTGGGTTGGCATGGCAGCGTTACAACAGTGGCGACGCGAATCTCAACCGAACCTGGAAATGGCAACCAGCTTCGAACAATTGCAGGCACTTTTGCAGCAACAGGCCAAGCTCATTGAGATGTTGACACAGAAGCTGTCGATGCAGTCAATCCCAATGTTAGGGACAAGTGAAAGTGCCTCCTTTTCAGAAACCCTGGCTCAGCAGATCAATGAATTCCATAATGATGCGGATGCTGGCGTGTCATTCGCTTCCTGGTGTCACAACTATGAAGACATGTTTCGTGTTGATTTCGCAAATGTACCAGAAGAGAAGAAAATTCGCCTGATGCGCCAGAAGCTGCGCGTGGCTCAACATTAAAAATTTAACAAATTTTATCTTGCCAAAGAACAGCACTGACCAATCCTTTGACGAAGTTGTCTCAGCCCTGTCACAAAATCTTAATGAGCAGACATCCTTATTCAACATCCAGTACAAAAGCCACACGATGGCCAAGGAATAAGTCTCAATTGTTCATTTGTTCTCCGAGCTTGGCGGTTTTGTCGCAAACGCTTCACCACCATGCGAGGTGGCATCCTCAGTGCAGTGAGACGCGGCGTGTAATCTTACTGAATCAGTAAGATTGGGAACCAACACGTTGGTTTGCTGTGGAGGGCATTTGAGCGGTTTGATCTCTCTTTTTGCGCGGCTTGATATGGAATACGCAATCTAGGCCTTGCACAAGCAAGATGTCGCAGCGCTTGAGACTCCACAGCGAAGAGGCACTAAGCACATCAAAGAATTGCTTCACCTTCCATATAACGTGTAAATCGGCACCTACGTGGCGACCTTATAAAAGGCCTACCAGGTACTGGGGAACCCCAACTACGGCTGCCGCCACTTACTGGAACCCAGTCAAAACACGGAGTTGAGGGGTCAACATTTTACGTTGGCTGCGCAATACAGTCCGCTAGAACGTTGCCGAAACTTTTGCTCTTTCCGTGTGCGTCCACCATGAGACATCTCCCATATTACGTTGTTTCCGTCGCACTGTGTGTGTTTAAAAAAACCGCCTTGAAGTTTATCCCAACCCACCTACACTGTGTACATCGACAGACGATTTAAATGTGACAAACTTTGCGCAGCCTACATATTTAAGGTTGGCTATTTTACGCACTATGGTGAGTCCACCGAAACGCTTTTCATTTTGTGCCTCTCATCCTGTCTATCGTACGGGGCTTGTTAAGCATTTGCCTTTTTACCCGCAATATGCCATTTTTCCATTGTACTGAACTCTAGAGCCTGAATTGCGACGTGGAAGATGTTCACAATCTACTTATCAACCTTGTAGGTACGAAGGCTGTTGATCCCAATGGGTTTCACCCGCTGATTCTCAAATCGTCAACCATCATCTCGCCCTCGGTGACTTGTCTGTTCCACAGACCACTGTCTGAGGGTGCATTCCTGAGCGACTGGAAAAGCCCGGCAGTGAAACCGATTCCGAAGGGCTGTGACTCAAGAAAGGTGGACAATTACCGATTCATTTGTCTGACCTCTGCCTTTACCAAAGTACTCGAGAAGATCATGAGAAAGGCAATGGTACAGCTGCTGGTGTCCAAAGATTTCCTGACGCCGGCCCAGCACAGTCTACTGTTCAATAGTGTATGATGGGATAAAAAGCATTGGCTTTACAAGACCCATAGGATGGTAAATGCAAAATAGATAAAAATCATTAGATTCCGACATGGAACTGAAAAGCCAATAGTCTAAATCTAGTACATCACACCACAATGTGTTGTTTATCACTCAGATGAATGTCTAACAATTGTTTGAAGGCTGTAATGTTCGGAGCGTTTACCACATGCGTTGGCAAGTCATTCCATTGTGAACAGATTCTAAGAGAGTAAAAATATTTTCTACAGTCTAATCGGGAGTGTTGGATTATCAGCTTGAGGTTATGACCTTTTGATCGTTTATATGAGGCTAGGGTGAGCAGCGATTTGCACGGGTGATCGCATTCCGTTAATATCCGGTATGCGATAATGAGATCTCCGCATAGTCGTCGGTATTCGGAGGAAAACATTCCGATTAAACTGAGACGCACTTCATAATGGAGACCAGATAATCCGCGTGTTGCCTTGGTAGCTCTTCGTTGGGGCTGCTCTAAGAGACGAATGTCCCGTTTTAACCATGGGCACCAAGCCTGGAAGGCATATTCGACGTGGGGCCGGATATAGGAGTTAACAAGCATGGGTACCAACCGTCGCTCAAAAACACCAAAAGCTCGCCTCAAAAGTCTCAGGTTCATGTTCGCCACGTTCGCTGCTTTGGAACATTGGAGCGAATTCCCCAGACTTTCTTGCACAATGATACCTAAGTCTTTTTCTGTGGTCACGCGCCGTAAAACGTACTGCCCCAAGAGGTACGTGTTGGCAAAATTGCTGCGCAATGACAGTAGATGACACTTGGCAGGATTCAGGGGGAGGTGATTTATATCTGCCCATTTGTGGATTCTATCCAAATCATTCTGGAGGAGGGCACAGTCTGATGTTGAGCGAATAACTCTCCAGATTTTTGCGTCATCTGCAAAAATTTGCATCGAGGATTGAATATTATCCGGGAGGTCGTTAATGTAGACCAGAAAGAGGAGGGGACCAAGGACGGATCCTTGAGGAACACCGCTGGAGATGCAGAGAGTTTCCGAGAGGGCATCGGCGACTCTGACCTTGATCATTCTGTCATGCAAATATGCTGCTAGCCAGGTGAGTAGGGAACCATGGATACCGTAGGCACGAAGCTTATGAAGCAGAGCTAAGTGATTGACTCTGTCGAATGCCTTCGAAAAGTCTAGGTAAATCACATCAAGGGGGGGATCCTTCATAAAGCGCTTTGGTCCATGAATCCCGAGCAAGAAGCAGATTTGTGAGGCAAGATCGTTTGCGACTAAAGCCGTGTTGGAGGTGAGAAATTAGCTTCAGACTCTCAAAATATCGTGTAATTTCATCTGCAACTAACGATTCCATTACTTTTGATAAAACAGGGAGGAGAGTAATGGGTCGGTAGTTGGCAGGATCCGATCGCGGAATGAATGGTTGCAAGTGCTGGACCGGAGGAAATTGTAAACGTGATCCTCATTGATTACAGCAAAGCGTTCGGCAAGATGAACCATGAAAACATCCTACAAGATGAGGATGTGTGGTGTTGGTGGCCCACTGGATCAGTGACTTTCATATTAAGCGGAAGTGGAGAGCACAGGTGGATAACTATTTACCGGACTGGTACCCTACCACTATTTGCATGCTCCAAGACACAATACTTGAGCTCATCCTGTTCTTGATTCACATCAAGGATGCCCATCGGCTTATTCGGTCGCATTGGACTTCGTAGCAGACGACCTGAAAATTCGGAGGGTAGCTGACGCTCCCGACGACTGCGACGTTCTTCGGCAGGATCTCGAACGACTGTCCATGTGGTCTGCAGATATCGATCTGCTGGTCAACCCAGTCAAATCGTTGTGTATGAGCCTGACAGGTCAATCGTTGCATCCCACATCTTCTGTGAATGACCCAGGCGTACTCCCACGTTGCGATTTGAAGTCCGTGAGCAACACGAACAGGTTATAACGAAACGGACTGCGCATGCTTTGGGCGTGCAAACGCAGCTCCTACATTTAGTCTGAAGAGATGGCCACTCAGCTCTACTTTTCAATCATAAGACCTGGTCTATCTGAAAGGGCAGTAAGTAACGGCATTTTCAAGTCTCATGGACAATTGAATCGACACAAAACGGCCCCCAGAGTAGTATCAGGGGACAGGGTGAGAATAGAAGCATAAGGAGGTCAGCTGCTCCAAAACCCATAATCAGTTTAGTTGAACCAGTGAGCAATTAAGAAATAGGTAACTATGACAATATCCAAGTGGAAACAAGCAGATCGAAGTTTCAGGTTTCTGCTCAACAATAACAATCCTATGAACAAAACTGCAACACCAAGTCAAAATGAGTATGTTTTCATAGAACATGATTTTGTCTCAATCTCACGTTTCAAGAAACAGATAAACGCTAATCCGTCGTCTAGCTAGGATAGTGGCGAACTCGGCAGACGTGTGTATGAGGGCACATAAACGGAGTAGCATTGAACATGGACCGATCAGAAATGGCAGAGAATGAATTGGGAGACAACATCAAAGCTTAATTGGTAGATTCTAAGCACCATGATTATCGGTGAAATGGTAAAGCGACGTTAGCGAAAAAGCAGTGATATAATACATGTATCACGCTGAATTATGTACTGCGGATCCTACGTGAAAAAACTCCCAGATCAGTGAATTCAGAAGTACGCGACTGACGACTGTGAGCGGGGAACAGCACGAAGATCTTGTAGCCCCAGAATAAAAAGAACAACCCTCGAGACAAGTAAACTAAGGAATAATACAGACGAAGTAAAACTGCCAAATAAGCAAAAATAATAACAAGAAAGGAATCGATCGATCGATAGTAACATGAGACGTCTAACCAATAATAATAATAATAATACAGGCTGTGCCAAAATAAGGTGGATCGATGTAGGTTTAAAGCTGGAGAAAATTATCAGTCACATGCCAGGGGGATAACTCCAAAAAAGACCATCTAGGACCTCGCAAGGAACCCAAAAGCGTGGAGGGGGGTTGTAAAAACAAGTGAACGAGCACAGTGAGTTCATACGGCTCAAAAACGTGAACCCATAGCGTAAAACACAAGGTCCTAAGAGGGAAATGAGAATGGACCAATGAACATGTTTGAGTCCGCACAATCGGTTCAGTAATCACACAGTATAAGACCAGCAGATACCGTGGAAACAGGAGAAACAGAGCAGCGCGAAATCATGTGTACCCAATGGGAAGTCTCATGTCTGGAAGATGTGATCACAAAGATGGGCCTTGGACAGAAAAAAATGGAAGCGAATTGGCACAGGCTATACAAGACGTAAGGGTGTCTCCAACGGGTAAAACAAGAGGATGCGCAAGGCAAGAACAGAGCTCAAGGAGGATCTTTGCTTGTAACAGACACTAGAGCGTTAATTGAGTGGTACACAATCTCTACACTTTGCTGATAAGATCCAAGAGTGACTATCTCAGGTGAGTACACATGGCTGGTGGAAGCGGGAGTGAGATTCGTGGCCAACCACACCGAGTTGCCATCCGTCGTCAGTCCACGCCTTCAAAACCCTCCGCGTTTTCGATGGCGATGATGAGTTTGGTGCGTAATTCTTCGAACGTGGGGTAGCATGGCAGATCAAGTCGATTGAAACTGCAGAAGGAAATGAAATAGAGTAGGATGTGTTACATCAATCAGAAAGCATGTCAATATGAAGGCAGTGTCTATGCTGAATAGTGTCCAACGTCGAGTAGAAAGCACACGAGAGTTGTTCACCAACGGGGCGGTGAAATGAATCTATCGAGAGAGTAACCGGAAGCGTCCGGAGACCCGTAGCGGTTTTCACGCGTCACGCACTTGACCTTTGGGGACACAAGAAGTTACACGGATACTTACATGGACTGAGGAGTGGGTGGCCAACCTCCTGGATGCGTTCCGTAGCCAGAAAATCTACGACGACGGTGGTAAGGTCCCTCGTGCTCGAGTCCTTGGACCACGGCTGGCTATAGCTTCCAACACTTGTGGCGAACAGTAGGCGACATACCAGTCTTCGGTGACTGCACTACCGTACGAGCGGTAGGTTAAACACATGACCGTTCTTGGTAACGAACACAGCCATCAACTGCTTAGGCACACTGCGCTCACATCAGAATTTCTGAGGCGTCGCCCCACCAACGGCCGTCCACTGAGCCGACTGTTGCTTGGTTTTTGGGCCGAGACTATGCACCCGGGTCGCATCAACACTGAGGATCGCTTAAACAGAATTGAGACGCCTACCATCAAATCTGGCAACATGATGTGGAACCAAACCACCCGAACTGCATTTTGGTCCTCCTTGAGCTGATAGAGTACCCAGCGTGCGCAAGGCTATCTGAGGCCGTGGCTCTCATGAAGAATCGTGCGGACTGATCCTTATGGCTTTCTCCACCTGTACCACAGTCATCTGCATGTCCTCTTCCAGCATCACTTGCACAATAGCAATGTCGTCCGCGGTGCTAGCCTCCACATCGTGCCTCATCATCTAGCGATCGCCTGCGATGTTTAATTACCGCAAACGATTCAAACGCGTTAGTCCTTGAAGGCGCATCTTAAGCAAACGCAGCATACAATCGCTCAACACCCTGGAGCTGTTTAAAGCCACACACTTGTGGACACAGAAAATCATTGCTCCTTAGTGACATCGACTCAGTTGCATATTTACAATCATAGTATAACGAGACTGTTTCTGTGTGTGTGAGTTGTGCTGGGCTGTTGATATAAGGTTTTCTGGGTAGAAATCACTGACCAGTTTTCCCATTTTGCTTACCATGTCATCTGTAGCTAACCTGGGTATCCGGAAACTTATTGCTCTGCCCTCGAATCGCCGTGAGTAGTTCAGATAGAGACTACAGCATGACTGCGGATAACCGTGATTAGAAATCAGAGATGTATGCTTTATGTGACCTGTTGGTACATGCTAGGGAATGAAGGTGGATTCCTTCATATTCTCTAGACATACATACCCTAAGCAGTAGGAGGACTATCGGATGATAAACTACATTTGCAGAAGCGAAGTCCGTAAATACAAATAGCAACATATGGCAAAGTGAAAGGAAGCTGATCCCAAACGATGGCAGCCTCAGCGTACATGGGAGCCTGACGTTCAAATCCATTTTAATTCAACAATAAATGCAAGAAAAGGACTACGCTTTCAATGAGATATTAACATAAGAAAGCTTGACAGTAACCTACTAATCTCATCAAATGGATCCAAGGGAACAAGCAACCGTTCAATTGCTTACCACGTGTGAGCGCGTGGCAACTGATCCACATTGCCCCAACATTCGATGGTGAACTTCTGCGGACCGCTGGATCCCCAAAGCTCGGCGAATCCATTCATAGGAACTCTGGAGGTCCCAGTCACGAATTGTAACAGCCGGCTCCTGAGCTCATTGGTGAATGTGTACACTGCCTGGAAGCCAAAACAGGAAAGGTGGAAAGCAGAAGCGTAAATGGTGGGGTAGTGCATATTACATAAATGCATTATCAAAGGAAGATCATGGCAAATGCTGGTGAATTCGCCACGAAAAGATATCACCAAGAAAATCTGGCCATTAAATAGAATGAGGCGGAGGCAAACCAGACTTCTGGCGCAAAAACGTATGGGTGGAGGAGACGAGTGTCATTAGTAATTCAGCATCGATAATAAAGAGCTCCCGAAACCGTTCCAACAATAAACCAGCAGAACCGTAAGAACACCTCACCGTCGACTGAACCACAACGCACAGAACTCCTAACACACAAAACGCCAGTATCAACCTGCATACGGGCCGGCGACCAGAGCTGATGGCGGATGGGGTGCAGATGTTTGCGATAATAATAATAATAATAACAGACAGCAGTACGTCAGTCAATTGAACTGATGCTTCGCTGCCGCATAACCACGGTGACTTACGGAAGCTAGAACAATAAGAGGGGAAGGGGACCCACGGTAAAAACTTACTTCCCTAAACAAACATTCAGGATTAAGGCGCCTACGCCTTGTCAACAACATACCATCAAAAACAGGTGGCTATCGTGCAAAGAAAAAGCGACATTGGCCAGACAGATTCCTTGCGGCCTTCACTGCCCCGGGTCATAATTAGCCATTACCTCGCAGAGAACTCAGCACCAAACACAATTTAAACAGGTAATCCGAATAGGAGATGTCAAGACGAGACTGGACTTTAAAGTGGTGCAACGTTTTGTGTTCCTCGTCAACTCATTGAGCTATAGTGGGTGGGGCCCTTGGGCCTCTTAAGAGCTACGTCTACCAGGTTGGTCAAAGGTTAGAGGTTAGACGAACTCAGTCTCATGGTTCTCAAGGGTTGGGAGTCTGAAATGGGATGACGTCTATTTCTGTAAACGTTGCCACATCTCTAGCTTTGCGGACAAAATTTTGAGCCAAAAGCTTTGGACCCTAATTGTTCTCCAGTTTAGGCCTGGGCGCCCTAGCAGTGTCTCAGCCCTCATGGTTGGCGGCATCCGGTTCCGGAGTTGCCTGTCAACTGCGGCCTCCATAGAACAGCCACAGGAGGCTTGCGCCTACGGAGGGATCATGGATGGCTTGCGCTGCACCAAACATAACTCCATCCACACAACCCATATCCAGTGTAAACTCATGTGTATGGAAGCCACGTTTCATCAACGAAGCCGGCTCAATCCTTCAACAAGCAGAGCAGAAGTATTCATGCCTAATTGGGAAATCAAGCGTACCAGATGTACACGAGGCGGTGGCTGAGCCACAGTCCGCTCCACACTGGATGGAACCACTCGTTGAGCCTAGCACGGCTACAAGGACCGTGCACTCCGTCGCCCCAGCAACGATTCGCAGTCTCCTGGAACCAGTAATCGAGGTGGAGAGTGGTAGATAGACAGGCACCTTGTAAAGACTCATATCAAACGCAGCCCCACTGGGGATATCAAACAACCGAAATAGAACGTAAGAGAAAACACGTAAAATTGACACAGAATATGTAGCAGAGTAACAGAACTGAACAAACCAAATAAAGTGGAGTGACTTATATCCAGAGTAAAAAGACCTAGTTTAAGTCTAAGTGACTAAACCAACATATTCAGTCCATCTGGATTGGTGGCATCCGGTTCCAGATTTACCTGTCACTGTGGCTTCCGTAGGATAGCCACAGGACGCCTGCGCCTACAGAGAAAGTATGGGTGCCTTGAGCTGCACCACCCACACACCTTCCGCATACAAACAAGTTTGCAATATATGCTACTATCAAAGGTGAGCAGTACGCTGAATGTATCGAAAATAGGACTAAAACTTACCTTCCAAAAGTTGACGATCACGGGGTGATTTGGATGATATTCACCTTTGTACAGCGTGTGAGATTTCCAGTCCGAAACGCTGATACCTTGCAAACCGCAAATAAGCAGTTCTAATTCATTCGCATCAAAAATCTTGATGGTTTCCAGATCGATAACGTCCTTAAAACCGTCTAAGAAAGCCCACATTTGTGGTTTGACTCGGGAGACAAATCGCCAACCAATAATGCACCTGAATGTCGCGAAAGAAACCAGACGTAGGTGACGAAAGTGTGGCAGTTACTTCGTGAAGGTTCAGGAAGCGGTGGTGCACAAACAATCAAAACAATATGTTTCAATTTGTGCTCTGAATAGAGCAACTTCGTTGCCGACATTTCATCAGCAGCCGAGGTGACTTCATTAGTGCCACAAATATTCCGTTAGTACAATAACAGTAGCAATATACAACGTTACAAAAATATGATGGCTTTTAGATGATCAAAAACAGAAGGCTGGAGTTGGTGGTCTAATCACTGGAATGATTCGCCTAACGGACCTAAGTACTAACAAACAGTATCAATTAACAGTTTCGAGAAAGAATACATTGGATCGGTTGACATTCTGAAAAGTCCGAACCGATACTCACGTTGTAGAAGCAAACACCATGAGCAGTCAAAAAGTGGCTTTAACAATTTTCTTCAAAATGCTGTGTGGATAGATGGCTAATGGTAGAGAAGTCCTGACATCTGAGGGCCAACCACTGCCCACTACACGGGCAGTAACGTATATGATGGGTCGGACTTTATCGGTTAAATTTCAATCCGTGGTGGTCGGCTACCGTCCCCATACCTCAGCAACATAAGCTATTGGCTAGTGATGCGAGCCACTAGCGGTCATGGGTTCGATCATTAGCAAGGAACCGATGGAATGCGCACTACCGACAAGTCCCAATAGGGCGAAACGTTCGTATGGTGCCTTTCCGAGTTGGCATTTGACCTATCTGGTATGTATTCTAATTGCGATGAACTAAATGGATGCCATTGCGGCTGATGGAGTGTCCAGCGCGACGCGCAACAGTCCCCTAGGACAATGCCAGATCAATGAGTGCTAATAAATGATGAAACTGGTTGAGAAGCTTCGGTTTACAAGATGACTATCGTTGAGGTAAAGGTCAACATAAGCCACCGATCCCTTGGGGCAAAGTCAATCAATCGCGAACGGAACAGCTGCACTGAGAAACGAAGGCATAGAGTCACTAAGCGATAGGACAGTGCATGGTGGGGGGGGAGTGGTCCACCCTGGGCAGCACGTGACGAGGGGCAGCATTTTGGGTACCGTCAATTGTTCGGTACCAAATATAAAGAGCAACATACGCTTAGAAGTTGAGGATTGCATATTTTAACACATTACTCGATATGACTAATAACACACTTGCTCCATGTGTAACACCTGTGTGCAAACGTTCTACCCAATGATCCCCTTGCTTGTCCCATTGGGTTCACTTACACCACATTTCCCAAGGCAGTCAGGGGACCGGTTGCTTTTAATGAAGTGAGTCCGTTTGTGCCGGAACCCTTTTGTTTCGCCCCTTTTCTCATTTACCTCGGCCCAACTGTCAACATTTTTCACAAACTGTCCATTTTAACGACACCACCACCTACTCGTTGAGACTGGTATTCTCATTTTGCATTTTTGTTCGAATCGATTCTTAACATGCTTTTATTACTCTGAGCGTGGCACCTCCCTCGTTTTGTTGTCCACTTGGCAGTTTCCTTGCCACTCGCGTGCTAACGACCCATCTTACCTCCCTACCACTTCTCTGCTCATCGGAGCGACGATTATCTATCGTCTATGATCGTTTTTGCCCTGGACGCCCATGCTCAGTTGCCATATCAACCACGTGCTGCAACCAATGCGCTCACGGTTGCTACGTCACCCATTGGGCTGATCCTCATCAACCGTTCGCTAGCGATGACTTCACCCACAGGTTTCAAGCCTACTTGACGTAAGGAGGTGGCAGCTCCTGACTGCCAAATGTCTCACTGCGCAACTCATCGGTTTCGGTCTGACCTTTAGTGCCGCTAAACTCCTCACACACACGTCTTGCTACGGTGAGAATTTTTATGAGAATCCGATTAGTAAAAGTCAGCTTGGTTTCGGTCTCCGACAGAGGGAGCATTGAGGCACTTGAATCTCACCACACTTATCAACAGTCTCTGGTTTGATGGTTACCGTTGCTTCTGTTGATCGCAACTGCTCGTGTTGCGCTTCATATTTGAATGGCATGTATACAGATGTGTAGTGTAGCAAGGGGGCAGAGGGGGGCCGATCCTCCCCTGGGGGAGTGACAAGAGATGGCCTTTGTCGTATCGTTAATTGTTCGGCATCAAATCTAAATGGCAAAATTTCCCGATAATGTTACTCTGTGTGACCAACAACACATTTCCACCGTGTGTCACACCTGTGCGAATGTTCTTCCCAACGATCCCCTTACTTGTCTCACTGTGGTCGCTTTCACCACATTCACCCACAATTGTCCGAAACGATCATCCATTTCATCGAAAACTCATGTGCACTTTACTCTGAGCCCGGTGTGCGGCCTTCATGCGGATATTCTGCCCTCCTCAATCAGGGTGAAAATTTCGCCACCGCCCCGGTGCAGCGAAAAAAGTTGCTACACCACTGCTCATCCACTCTTACTGGACGCGATCTGCTTACTGTGGTGTGGAAGGTTGTAATAGATGGTGAGTAAGTAACATGTGCAATTACAACTGTGGAAAAAATCGTAAAACGGCAGCTCACTCAATGTACTGTTTCTTATTTGCATTAGTAACCGGAATTCGCCGTCCGTTCGGAATCAAATCCACCTCCACCGTCTCCCCGAAATGTTCTTCGTCCACTGAGAATGTCAGGTCCAACTCGGACGGGTCCTCTTCCAAGATGTATTTGAGGCTTCGGTAATACTCAGAATCCACTGATTCCATGTCCTTCAAGGTGATTGTCTTCTCAAGCATCATTTTATAAAAGGGTCGAATGAAGAATCCATCGATCAGTTTGCCGTGATACACAGCCATTCCGACGACGCGACCGATGAATTTGAAGTATTTCAAATGGTCTTCGTTAGCCACACCGGATAGCGGATTAATTTGGAGGGTGTAGTTGTCGCTAACAGAAAAGGGAATACAAAAAGTAGTAAAAGCAGTCGGGGTAGGGTGTGTGAGGAATAAAATGTACAATAATGGGAAGAAAACTCACGCCGCGGAATACTCAAAAAGTCCGTAGTAGGGATTGAACATTTCTCGGGAGAGTAGAAAGAACCACTCGCGTTGCACACCCCCGTAATCCAAGCCCTTTTCACCGAGGAATTCGATCCATAAACTGTGTAGGAAATATGAAGAATATATATATATATATATATATATATATATACATTTATGCATATAGAAACAGTCCACAGAACATGTACAGGGTTGCAAAATCACGCAAAGTAAAAGTAAGGGACACGCGATCAATGAAACAGGTTACTTCAATGTTTCCACAAAGCCATTTGCCCTTTTGTATCAATCCTAGTGTGGAGAGCATATGAGTTTTTCAAACGGCGTTATGTAGGTGTGATTTTGAAGTATCGACGGAATACCGTTGGGAACAGTTCTAGAGATTAGAAGCTACAAAGAAGCTGTATCGCCGATGTTCTCTTAACCGCATGATCGTCAACTGTTTGAGACTGCATGTTGTTGCCAGACATAACTCAAAAAGGTTGCCTAGGCCATACATAGGTTTCACACTAGATCCATCTTTATACTACTTATAAGCATTCATACATATTATGGATTGTTGTCATCATAATACATAATACAACGGTGCTAGGTAAAGAAGAGAAACACTAACACAGTTATGCTGTCGCAATACCATCATATATACAAACGGAAGACAATATGATGTAAACTATGGAAACTGGTGTTAACACAAATAACAAAAAGAGGATGCCTTTTTCTTATTAAGCATCAAGAATTAAGACCTCGCGGTTGGAACATGGAGGGACAAAGAGAGTTGTAACGCAGTCACTGGGACTGGTTCCTAGCCAAGTGCACAACCTACTCCAACCAAACATGCTCATCGTTTTTGGAACAACCCAAAAGGGGAAATCAGGAGGCACCAACCGAGACCCATACAACACAACACGGTAGGAAAACATTCATACAAAATATCGATGCACCGCCATTGTATGTTGTTCAGTGATTTGCTTAAGATCCCTACGTCCGTTCTGCCGATATCATGGCTTAGTGGCTTCTCTGTGTGTAATCGGGAAATATGATATCTTTTTTTCTTGTGAGCAATGGGGACGAAAACAAAAACATTACAACTACAAAATCCTCCTACTCATTAGTACTATGAATGGAGCCTCTCCTAGTTTCAAATGCTATGAATGTAGCGTCTAGTGAGAGGAAGTCATGACATTTGGAGGCTAGCTACTGTCATCTGCTAAGGTGGCAGTGGAAGATAGGTTGTGCTATATCCCAGTTAGCTTGCAAATTGTGTAGCCCAGCCCGCGTCCCCCACGGCTCAGTGACTCAAGCTGCTGGCTAGCAGGCATCTGGCTCTAGCGGTCATGGATTCGATCCCCAGTAGGGAATCGAAGGAATACGCGCCACTGACGAGCCCCAATAGGGCGAAACGCGTCTGGTGCTTTTCCAGACTAGGCTGTGCTACGTAGCTTGTGAGCAGCTGGGACAAAAACAAAAGCATGACAATTGCAAAATCCTCCTACTCATTAGAAATATGATATCGCCCGATCAGGTAATTCACCAATAGAAAATCCGCCAAAGTGTGACATCCTTCCGGCTGTATCAAAATTTTAGAGTCAAGACACTGTAGGCTGCTGAAAAGTAAATAGCATTATCCTGGCCATTGTGACAATACACGAGCGCACAACTCTACACATGAAAAAGTCAGAATAATAATTGTCGACGAAGGAATCGAAGCGCCGTCCGACTGCACACACGTCCATTCTGTTGAGTGTCTGAAAAACAACATCCTCCGCATTGTTACAAGCACACAGACCGAGGTTCGCCAGTTAGACGATGCGGCCACGGCCTCTACATCGGATGTGGTCCCCTATCCTTGCATCTGCATTGAATAAAAAAGCAAGACTACTAGGTTCCTCTTCCTCTTATACACAGAGACGCCTTCTGGAGTCTCCATGGATAATGACCACTCCACCTTTCGTTCGGAATTGACGTCACCCCAGATGCTTGCAGTCTAATACGTGAATATTGTACAAATCGCACACACTTTAAACCTAAATGGTAGAGGATCTGCACGCTGGGTTGACTGGCATTTTACAGAGGAACATCCCATTTCAATTCCTGTCATACCATCCAATTTCATCGCAGGTAAATACGCTGATGATGTCGTTCTAGCGTGTATGATCCCAGACACTGAGGAAACTTTTGAAACCCCAAGATTTCGCCAAATGAGCAGGTTCCCGGATCGTTATCCTGAAGTATTTCATTTCTGGTAATCAAGAGGTTTTCTTTTCTCCGTTTCAATAGGACGCGATCCCTTGAGAGCATCTCCCCTCCGTTGGTCAAGAATGACCAAAACTCGCTTCATTTATATACCGTGAAGTATCTCGGGATTTTCTTGTTCCACAATTCGCAATGATCCACACCTATTCGTAAACATTATAAAAGCCATATTAACATTAAAAAACCTTAACCACAAAATTCTTGAGTGCTCAATGAAATGTGTCTCCAGATGCTCTGGATTACGGAGAGAATCCACCACTGACTTCATCCTCAAGAAAACAGTTCGACGTATGTGTTGATGCTTCAACCAGAATCCTAAACTACACTTTTCATTCACATTTGTCAGTGAGGATTTTCAGGAGATTCATCACAGGCCACTCTCAGTCAGCAGGCTTTGGTACGTCAGGAAAAGCACCAAACAGCGTCATTTCGACCTTTTGCGTCGATTCAGTGGTGCGAATTCCTCGCACCCCTGCCAAGATCCGAACACAGGACGTCCGGATGCCAACAGCTAGTGCCATTAAGCCATGGGTGACTGCAGCGGACCCGCATGATTGGCAGTGTACTATGGTATAGACCGGCTCAGCTTCCACTGGAAAGTATTGAGAACATCTGCAGCTCGAGCGTGGATGAGAGGATTGTCCTGTTCTCCGAGCTGGGCATTTCTGTTGCAGACGTTTCGCTACCAAACTACGCAACATCTTCAGTGCGGCTATTCAGTCTTGATTCGCGGAGTCTCGCAAACCACTGCCAGATCCGAGCGACTATTGATTGTTACCTCCTGCTTCGAATCTCAGCCTACGATTAGTTCACGTGAGTCGTCTGAGTGATCACCTCTTCTCCTTGTTGATCTGGTGTCCATTGCTGGCTTAACCTGCAGAGCTCCGTAGACACTCTTCAGTTCCAGGTGTCAGTTGATTGACTTCCGGCCAAAATGTCTGGCATGGAGGAAACCACGCGCTCTGCGATTCCTCGCTATTCCAAGTATTTCAACGTTCTCCAGATCGAACTGATGGTCCTCGGCATCCATGTGTACTGACATTAAGGATTTCTCATCCTGGCGGCGGATGCACAGACTATGTCCGTGTAATCGTGTGCCAAGTTTACTTCCAGTCTGGCCTACATACTACTTGTCGGAATTCTTGCAGGACATTTTGTAAACTACACCTGATGTTTCTTCCTTACTCAGTTTGTCCTTTACCTTGAAAAGTTTACCTCGAATAGTTTCCGTTGCTTCGTGTGCAACATTTATCCCGTGAGGCATTAGAAGCCTCGCTGCCATTTCAGAAATCCCATGGATGTAAGGTAGGATAATCGTTCTTCTTTCTGTTGCACATGTGGACGCGGCTTGTGACTGGGTCTTCGACATCAGGCAGTGTAGAATAAAGTTTCTATGATATGAATTTCGCTGGAACATGCTAAATAGGTGGTCCTCCTCCGCCTTACTCAGGTGGGGCGTGCTACGGTGTGTATGTGTCTGGGTCCGTTGGAAAAGCATCCTCACGCAACTTCGCTTGTATATGGTCGGATGGTTACTGCGATAGTTGAAGATCTGATCTGCGTGGGTCGCTTTCCGATAAACAGTTGTTTTCAGTGACCGAGAAACTTGTCTTCTCACGAGCATGTCCAAGAATGGCAACTGGTCATTGTTCTCTTCCTCTTTGGTGAAATGGTTGCCGGAAAAATATTATTGATTAGCTGATGTGTTTCCTATAATCTGGAGCGTTAGAGGATGACAAAAGTAGCGTCTATGTAACACAGGCGATACATTGGTCATCCTAGAGTTAATGTGCGTTTAACTCGACTGTGCGTGATCAAACGGGGTGAAAATGAGCGTCCATCCAGAGGGAACCAGGTTATTAGTAACTCCAAAACTAGATGGCTGCAGTCTACTAAGAAAAAAAGCAGCAGCTGCTGTGCGTTCACATGCGTCATGCACACAGAGGGAATGAGATAGAATCATGTAAAAAGGTCACTAAGAAAAAAGTAAGTCAGTGTCCTTTGTTGCGGTACAGGTTAGAAAGAAACTCGAGTGAAGACGAGGCGAGACGGCGAGAGCGGCGTAGGTCAGTTGCCATACCAAAGAGCTCTCGGTGACGCTTACAGAGCAAGTTTCAATTGGACCTGCTGTCCCCAGTATAAGATCACTGAAACAAAGATGAGAATCGGAAAGAGCCATAAAAGTACTATCACCTTTTGATCAAGGTCTGTTACCAGTATTCTCTGAGGTTATTTTTGTTTGCAGATAGGACAGCAAGATGGACTTCCACGCAAACTGGGACACATACACTTGATGTATGCTGCCTGACTGAGAACGAATTCAGGATTCCAACAGCCTCAACCGGTTGTCATCACCAATTATTGATTATTAAGGAGCAGGAGATTTCAATGCAATTGTATTGAGAGTTCATCGCAGCAGTTGCCGAGTCAGATGGTTTATCACGCATCTGGGAAAGCAGCTGACGGCGGTTTCGTCCAATTGGGACTCGTCAGTGGTGCGCATCCTTCAGCTCCTTTAAGGAAGTGAGCCCAGGACTTTTCGTCAATAGTCAGCAGGGCACGGGTGATAACGGAGAAGCGAACTGCGACAGCGCGACTAATGCTTCACTGCTGTACAAGTTACGAACCTTGCAGAGGACAGAAAGATGGCTCCCAAAGTCACGACTTCCTACAACAGTGGTTATGTACGAGAGAATTTAGAAGCTGTTAGAGCGAGTGATCTGCTACGAAGCTGGCGAAGATTTTTTCAAGTGACAAGTAGTAAAACGCCATCAAACTATGCGCACAATAAATTCCAAACATGTTGTCACATAGCATTCGCACTCTGCATCAACAGGATCAAGTGTGTTG